CCATTATGCTCTAACTTCCTTAATATTACACATTGACCCCGGATTTAAACAAATATATCACATTAACCCCCAAAACTTTTTTTTTTCAGAAAATAATTTTGTTTCTGAAATATTTTTTTTCCGGCCAGATTCCGGCGTTGACTTTTTTTTTTTTTTTTTTTTTGAAAACTTTTTTTTTTCCTGAATTTTTTTTCCGGCCGGTCAACCACCGTTGACCGCCGGTCTCCGAAGTTGACTTTTTTTTTGAATTTTTTTTTGAAATTTTTTTCTTAGAAAAAAAATATTTTAATAATATTACTGTTTTGGCTACTAAATTACTGTCTCAGACAGTAATATTACTGTTTGGGACAGTAATATTATGAATATTATTTTCCCGAACACTAATATTATTAATATTATTGTCTAAGACAGTTAAATTACTATTGGAGACAGTAATTTAGCATCCAAGGTAGTAATATTAATTAAAATATTTTTCTTTAAGAAAAAAAAAAAAGTCAATTAACAGTTAAATTACTGTCTCCGACAGTTAAATAACTGTCTCCGACAGTTAAATAACTGCTGGAGACAGTAATTTAGCAACGAATACAGTAATATTAATTAAAAATATTTTTTTTAAGAACAAAAAAGTCAATTAACGGTTAAAATATTGTCTCCAACAGTTAAATAACTGTTGGAGACAGTAATTTAGCAAAACGAATACAGTAATATTAATTAAAATATTTTTGAAGAAAAAAAAAATCAATTAACAGTTAAATTACTGTCTCCGACAGTTAAATAACTGTCGGAGACAGTAATTTAGCAGCCAAGACAGTAATATTAATTAAAATATTTTTTTTAAGAAAAAACAAAATTATAGAAAAGAAAAAAAAAAAGTCAACGCCGGAGAGCCGGGGGTCAACGGCAGTTGACCGGCCGGAAAAAAATTTCAGGAAAAAAAAAAGTTTCTCAAAAAAAAAAAAAAAAAAAAAGTCAACGCCGGAGACCGGCGGCCGGCGGTCTCCGGTGGTGGCGGGTCAAAATTGAAATTAGGGTTAAAATTGGTTAATTGATGAAATTGGGCTAAATTGGGGTGTAAATTATGAAATTGGAGTTGAATTGAGTTTCAATGAATTGGGGGTAATTTTGGTATATATAAAATGATTTTCCTTATTTGCAAATAAGTTTGAATGGGTTGGATTTATTTGAAAGACAAAAAAGTTGGATGTTCCTCTTTTAATTAAGTGTCTTTGTCATGGGCCTATTCGTCATTACCCTTTTTTTTTAATATTAGGGGTCCATAGAGGAAGTATGTACATAGTACTCCCTCCCAATGTTTTGAAAACCGGATCAGACCGGCCGGTCCGACCGGTTGAACCGCCCAAAACCGGCAAAGAATTGGAAAAATCCGTCACAAAACCGGTTCCTTATGAAAACTAAAATGAGAGATAGATAGACAGAAAACTTCATTACTTCATCAAATTTGCTGAAAGATTGGCAATGGCAGTGCTTGAGAAAGAGAGGAGAAAGAAAAAAAAAACAGAGAATATTAACGATCATGAGGTGCAAGAGAGATGATAGGAAGTGGTGTAATGCAATGAGGTCTGATGGAGGCGCAAGGTTAAGTCTAGAAAAAAATAGAGTTTGGGCTTTGTGCTTTAATTAGTATTTACTTGTATTGAAGCTTTTTAGTAAATTTTTTACTATCATAAATTTAATTTGACTATTCAAACTTGATGTAAATAGTATATATAACTATATAAGATTCAACTGAAATGCTAAATTTCATACTAATTTTACCAAATCATACACATAACCAAAAATAATTGTCCTCTCTAAAATGTCCTCTTCTCCTTCTCCACTCGTCTTCTTTTCCCTTATTTTTTTCATAAAATCACACACTAAAAACGTCCCTAGCATTCCAAGTTCGAATTTGACAAAAAATCTTCACATTTCAAACTAAAATAAAGTTGGAATTTGAGGAAAAAATAGAATTGATTGATGCGATCTCTTGTGTATCATAAGATTTCTTTACGGAACGTAAGAACACTCTTGTTTATTATTTCTCTTCATAATAAAACCCTAGCACAAGACGACTATTTAAAGATAATAAAACCCTAGAATCCTAATCTAACTAGGAGACATAATTAACTATACTAATAAAATACTTAATATCTAACCTAACCACTAACTCACGGCCATATATATATTATAAATATACTAATCTAATTAATTAATAATAAACTACTAACTAAACTAATAATTAAATAATATAGTAAATAATATATCGTATCATTGATATGAATTTCAATAATTAAAAAGGCTTAATAAATTTGAATAAATATTAAATAAAACTGAACTCATTTTTTATAATTATTCACGTCAATATTAATGAATTTTGAGTGACTTGGATAAAATCATTTTTGAGAGAAGAGAGAATGTGAGAAGAGAGAGACTTTTATTTTTAATTTATGTGTAGGATTTAGTAAATTTTAGTGTGGGATTTAGCACGCCAAGATTCAATTATGCATTTTTTTGGTATAAAATTCGTTCGTAGATATTAATTTTATTTAAAAAAAATTGATACAGTATTTGAGTATTTGCGTTTCTGTGGAGTATACTTTTATATTGTAATATGTTATTGTGAATGATTAATGAAATTTTTTGATTCACTAGTATTTTGCTTCGTGTGTTGTACAGGTAAGGTAAGCAAAATAAGAAATTAGTAAACGTATATGACATGTACGGTAGCAAAACAATGGAATACCGAAAATGTAAAAATTCTACTAATTGCAATCATAATCTATATATATGTTTTAACAATAAAATTTATTATACATATGTGTGTTATAAAAAAAGAGAGAAAAATTAGTGCTTGAAGGAAAAAAAATTAAAAAGAAAAAACAAACGTGGAAAAAAAAATTAAAAGTTGATCGTGTTTAGTGGGAAAGGGAAAAAAATGAAAATAAAGAAAAACAAAATAATTAAAAAAAAAACGTGTCCTATAATAAAGAAGAGAAAATTTAGTGCTGGAAGAAAAAAGAAAAAAGAAGAAGAAGAAGAAAAAGAAAAAGAAAGTATTTAAAAATAAAAAATGTGAAAGAAAAATTGACCGTGTTTAGTGGGGAAGGGAAAAAATGAAGAAAAAAAAAACAATGAAAAAAAACCTAAACATGTTTTATGAAAAGGAAGAAAAACCAAATAATTTTGAATGTGCTATAGAAAAGGAGAAAATAAAGGAAACAAATATTTCACAAAAAAATATTTTTAAAAAACAAACTGCTTTTAGGGTTTCGGGGCAAACCTTTCTTTTATATATAAAGATACATATACTTTCTGAGCATATTTATATCATTACCACTTTAAAGTCATTTAAATAATATAAAAAAAAAAACCCGGTCGGACCCCGGTCGACCGGTCCAATCGTGACCCAGTTGCTTGTCCGATTCAATGTCCGATCCGATCTGGTTTTCAAAATATTGCTCCTCCACACCATAATATTATTATTTTTTAATAATTATTGTACACAAATTAAGAAAATTAATAAATATGAATGAATTACAGGAAAAACATAGATAGAACGTGATCACAAACATATTTTTTTCTCAATTAATTGAAACACGACTCTATATTATTAGTTTTTTATTTTTTGAAAACTATATAGTATGCTGTGTTTATAATTAAGCCTCTGTAAATTAATACAGTTGGGATCGATAAAATTCTATTAATGTGACGAAATGCTAAAATATCGAACTAATAATTTAATATGTTTTCACATAGTCAAAATCAGAAGATATTACTATCTAAACGAAATCATTAATTTATCGAGATTATTAATTTATCAATGTTTTACTGTATCATTTAGTATATCTATACGAAAATTTTGAAGTGGAGCTTTAAATGCTTGTCACACCTAATGATGGGCCATGGAGAGAAGCTGGCATTAAAGAGGTTATAGTAGTTTGCATCTACTTTTAACTAGGGATATTTATTAGTGGGTATTTCACTTTCACCACCCAAAACAAAATAGGCCAAAATCATGGACCACCTCTTTTTCTTCAATAATATTTATATTCCCTGGCCATGCAAAAAGGTTCCATTTTTCCAACATCAATGGATGGAAGCTCTTGAATTTTAATTTATTTCAAAATTTGTACAAAATTTTCACTTTTTTTTTTCTCCTTTTTTTTGCAATTTAGTACTAAATCGAAGTCTAGAGGGTATTCGATTTTGAAATATTTGAAAAAACATTAAATATCAAGACGGTTTATTAATTGAACTTATATGCAAAAGATTACACCAAAAAATCTGATAGAACAGTACGATGCATATGTTATTATTTGACGAAATACGTCGGATATTTTTTCACATTTAATTAATTACATACTATTATATATGATTTATGAATGTATGTCAAATATGTAATAATCTACCACACACATACGTACATGATAAAATAAAAGGTAGTGAACTTCATCACCACTAAAACATAGAACAAACCTATTTTTAACACTATTCCACCAACTTTACAAGCCTCAAAACTAAATTTATCTAAAAGTGAACATTTTTTTTTTGTTTTATAAAGGAACCGGTCCCGCAAACCTACACTCTCTCTCGTATAACAGTTACTATACGAGAGATATAAACCACATTATGCTAGCTATGTGTGACAAACTCGACCTATCGACCATTGACAATAAGATTTGAATCTGGATTAATTAACACATTTTCAATTGCTCCAACCGCTCGGTCATCCATCGCAGAACTAAAAGGGAACATTTCGTATATAGATTGCAAGAGCTTATCTATAAGTCAAAATTAGTAATTGTGAGTTAAGTAATACTTATAATAATAAAAAAAAAATTAATTATGATAATCTAATTGGATCGGAAGGATTTTTTTACAATAAATCTACCATCTACGAAATCAAATGCAACCTGAAAAATAATTTAAACAAATAATTGATTTTAGCTTATATATCTTCCGACAGATCCTTCACTCAAACCCAAATCATTAGTAGTAATTCATAAATTAACCATTTTATTTTTCCTTTATTGACTTCTCCCCTACCAACACTCCCACTCTGAATCACTCTTTCTCTCTCTAATTTTTCACACAGTACGAAGAACAACCCTAGGGTTTTCCAGATTAAACCTTTTGTGCGTGTAATTGATTGTAATCGCTCTCCATTTCACCTTCCAGTGCGTGTTTTCTAGGTGGAGAAAACAAAAAAAAAATTGATGTGCGTAATACTATGAGAAAGGGGGGAGCGAAATGGGCGTGGCTAGCAAGGCCTGGAGATGCAGTGGAGGAGTGCTGGTGAATAACATCTCTGCTGAAATTCTCCACCACCAGAAGCAGAAGCAGCAGCCGTCGCCGCGGCAGGACCGGCGGCATTGTTGGAGTTTTTTGCCCTGGAGGCGGCGGACGGCGGTTCCGTGGACGGCGGTGTGCGGGCTGCTGCTCTTTGTTGTTGGTCTTATTTCTCTCTTCACGGGACACGTGGCCTCAGATCTCGAGTGGTACTCGCAGCGCCTCGTCAAGCGGACTTGGTACTACAAGAAGGTACGTACGATTGGCAAAGCTTTCACGCTCTGATTGTGTGTGGAATTGTCATTTCTTCCCTTGATTTTCAGGTCTAATTGGGAAATTTTGTGCACTGCAGTTTTTTTTCGATTGGAAGTGAAATGTGCAGTGTGTGTAATTTCTACTTTTGTTCTTCATGTGAACTTTAATTATAGAATTTCTATTTAAGCTGTTGGAATTTGGCTTTATTCAATCGGCAAAAATCGAGTCTTGAGGGTTCTTATGAGATTTTTAATTTTTTTAGTTGTCCCTGATTGCTCTCTTCCTTTTCATCTTCAGTCATTTCTTTTCTTTCCTCGGCTGTGGTCACCATTTTCGTTTCCAGCTTTCTGGCTGATTTTTTTTGTTATTATTGTAGTTGGATGTTAGGACTGCTGGAGCAAAAGTTCCTAGTAATGATAGAATGATGAAAATTGAAATTCATTTTTTTGGGAGAAAGTGTATTCTCTAAGATCTTGAAAAACTACGGTCTTCTACTTGTTATTTATGCATTTCATGTTACTTCTCTTCAATTTCATATTTTTCCGCCTCTCCCCTACTTATATTCTTATCCTTGATGATTGAAATACTTTCCAAAATATTCGTTTTCATGTTTCTCTGTCATTGATGGTAGATACAGCCATTGTAATCCCATCATTCGCCTTCAGTGATGCTACTTCTCAGACTTCTCTTGTAAACGTTCCACTATAAACTGATCTATCTCTCTCTAGTTCCTTGTTGATCAATTCATTTTTTTAAAGTAATGTGACTGCCGGGCTCCTGCATCCTACTTATTGCTGCTAATATGATCCTCGTCACTGATGAATACTTGTTACTCTTTGGGGATATAACTTTTTTCCCAATACTATTCTTCTTGATAGATGTATTTCCATGTGCCTTTTACGGTGAAAATATGAAATCATACTCATTAGCGAAAACAATGTAAAAGAGGTACCAAGAATCAATCTTTTACCCATGGCATGACTTTTTATACATTTCGACTAAAAAGAAACCCCACAGGATAAATATCCTTATTCATGATGCAAAACTAGGTTAGCGGGGTATATATACCTTTTCCAACTTCAACTTTATAGTTCTTCATTTTATGTATTGCAGGGTGTGATTGTCAGAATGATGTTTTCTAATTCTGTTTCAGAAAAGCTAGCATGCAAAAGGGGTTTAGTTATTAAGTATTTTTAGGAAAGAGGGCATGTTTTAGTAGTTCCAAAGATGAAGTCCAATACTTAACAGAGAAAACCTTGCATCTTATTAGAGGGCATTTACTGACATCTTCCTCCTTGCATGGTGTTTGATTTCCTAAAATGTTGCGTGCTACTTAAAGTCGATTGTTGATTGTTACCACTTATATTTACATAGCTATTCTATTGCTTTTTCCACGCATTAACTCATGATAGAAAGGGGAGAGCTGTTCTTTGCTAACTTAAAATGATATCATTTTTTTGTCTATGGTCATGGCCGTTATTCCACATTATTTGTTATTTTTCGCCTCTCGTTCCAGTAGGGAAATGGTGCTAACTATGCATGTGAGGCCTGTGGAATAGATCCATCTTGTCTGTTTGCATATATCACTCATGTTCTAGTTCCCTTACAAGAATTTAATTTTGCCGTCTTGTCAAATATGTAACAAATGCGGTTAACCTGGTGGATATCTTGATGTTCATGCAATGTAGGATAGAGGTTATCGTGCACCAATTGATATATGGAAATCAAAGTTTTCAAACTTGTATTATGGTTGCAGCGATCGAGGCCCTCATTTTGCACGTAAGTTTGCCATCTCTGTCATTATTATGAAACATTCTTCTCGTATGAACACTATTACTTTGTGGGTTAAACTCTCTGTCAGCATGGAGTTCTAATGCTTACATACTATTCTGTATCAGTTGTAACAGTTGAATTGGAATTGCAAAACTATTACCTCGGTTATGGTGTGCTATAACAAACACTGAGTGCATTTAATATGCATAAGAAAAGTTTCTTAGATATTATATCTCATGGGCCCTGGTATCATATGGAAAGTGGTAAAATAGTTACTCAAATATTATATCTCCCGTCATGTGATCTCTGTTGTTTTAACGAGTAATTAGCATTAGCACCCTCTAGACAAGGATGTTTGGCATTTTGAACCCTAAAATGTAGAAGTGAGCATTTCGCACCGTAAAACCACGACTTCTTAGCATTTTGTACACACTGGAAATTAAAATGGCTGCAAAATGGGAGATCTTTTTCTCTCTCTCCAGTGGGTTCGTCTACCATTTTTGCATCTAAAAGTCCATTTTTCCCTTATAATGCACCCACAGCGGCAGGTAGTGATGGGTATCTCAGTTAGGCGGTTGGTTCTTGTTATTTGTGTGCGTCTTTGTGGAGGACCTGTTCTTCTATCCCAAGCTTGAATGCAGGGTTTAGGGGATCCTAATAGATTGGTGATGATTGAGGAAAATTAGAAAAAAAAAGGAGATTATGATGTTGAAAAATGTTTACAATGATGGTTGAAATGAATGCTCTAATGAGCAATGAAGGGAGCACCCGAAGAGACGAGATACTACCCTTATTTAGTGCCCAAATCTATTATCTGGTGGAAATTTCCACCTGAAGTTAAGGATGGTGCAATGCTAAAAAATTAAGGATGTGGAGTACCAATTTTTACTTTATATGGTGCAAAAAGTACCAAACAGCGTAATGTCAATTTCTATTATATGGTGTGTAATTCAAAGGAAACAACTATAAATTGGATTGGAAAGCATGGCTACGATTAAATCAATATACTTTTCTTTTTTTACTTTAACATGTATAGCTGTAGTAGTGAAACTTCAGGATCTAACACCAGTAATTATTGATCTATAGCTGCTGTACGTGAACGATTTTCAAATGGATACTTACTTATTGCGACTAGTGGGGGGCTCAACCAACAAAGAACAGGAGTAAGTTTTTTTCTAGCCTCAACTCTGTGTTTATTTTGTAAGGTCATCAGATTCAGCAACATTTACTTTGCAGCTTCCTTTTTTTTAACATCTCCAGTTACCTGAGTTTCTTTCTCCTAGTTTTTACTTTCAGTTCTATGATAAACAATTTAATAATTGTTTCATTTGTGATCTTCAGATAACTGACGCTATAGTTGTTGCAAGGATCCTAAACGCTACTTTGGTTGTGCCGGAATTGGATCATCAGTCATTCTGGAAGGATGAAAGGTCAGTTGAGATTTCAACAAATTAATTAATAAAAATAAACTTCAATATCTAGTCATGGTGACATGTTACCTCAACGGTTAAGGAAATACCATTCTTAAAATTTTAGGCTCCATTTGGATGGAAGGATTTGATTTGGGGAAGGGATTTGGAGTCATTTGAAATCCATATAAATGGCTTAATTTGTAACTAAAGAGGAGGCCTGTGGATTTTTAAATCCATCATCAAACCTCTCTATCCAAACAAGTGCAACGGATTTGTAAATTTTAATCATGGATTTGAAATCTTTCTCCAAATTGAGCCTTATGGTTAACAAAAATTCAGTTTATATATTGACTATTTACAGTATGGAATAATTTGTCACATCAAAGTACAGTATATGCTTCATTAATGGATTGTGTTTTATTTTGACTTAATGCTCTTCTCAGCCAGATATTTCTTTGCTATGCAGTGATTTCATCAACATTTTCGATGTTGAATGGTTCATCGCTTACCTTGCAAAAGACGTCCCAATTGTTAAAAGAGTGCCGGAGAAGGTGATGAGGTCAATGGATAAACCACCATACACCATGCGCGTTCCACGAAAATCAGAACCTGACTATTATCTGGAGCAAGTTTTGCCTATTCTACTGAGGAGACGTGTAAGAAGAAAAACTAATGTGCCAATTAATAACCTAATATATATGAATGCATTATTATCGTTATTTCTAATTTCCTTGTGGTAATCTTTAACTTGATTGTTTGTGCATGAAATAAAACATCTTTCAGATCTTTGGGTGAATAAAATCCAATGCAAGTGTTTGCTTGCTGAAAATTTCAGCCAAGAAGGGTGCTTTATTTCTTTGCCTGCAGCCCGTCCTAGGATAACAGAGAGTGAATATTGGCCTTTGGTCTTTCTTCCTCCTTTAGTTTCCTTTTTGCATCTATCGAATTTTGGTCATTGCATTGTTTTCCCCTTAAGACACCTTATTTTACGAACATGGTATGCCAACCGACATTTATTTGATTCTCATGCATCATTCTTGTATTAACATTCCAGAGCTTAGTTGAACTTCTAGTCTGTCACCTTCAGTGGAACATAACTCTGCAAAATCTAGAAATTTATGTGCAGAGCAGGTTAAATAATGTTTATGATGAAATCTGAATCTTATTATCTGACATTAAAGCATGTATGCTCTGAATTCACTGTTGTATCATAACTTCGAGTTATCGCTGATGTGCTTGGCTTGTATCTGCATATGCTCTTGAACCAGATGCAGCTACTTACTGCATTTACGTGTCCTCTGTATTCCTGATTTGATATATAATTGGTAATTTTGTTCGATATCCTCCCTGAAACAAGTGTAAACAATGTTTTATTGGTTGGTTTTTTGAATTCACATAGTGATTTTCCCCCTAAGGTAAAAGCCTTCACCTGGAAAACAGTTCTATGTCTTACACTACGATTATTCTGAAGGCAAGAAAACCTGGAAAGATCTTATTAGCTCAGATGCATGTTTGATGTAACTGTTGAATATTGCTGTTACTTGATTGTGAGCTTTTTAGCATGCTTTAAATAATTACGATGATTAGAAGTGGCCATGCGGCTGTGGAAGATTCCATGCAATTCTGATGGGGAATTCTAACGAAGCAAACTTAAGGAAATTTATGGTTCCTCTTTTCTTTTCCGACATCTCGAAATAGATTTCTATTCCATAATGGAAACTCCTGTTCTCCAAAAACTACCGTTTCATTTAAACAAGTCTTGTGACACCACTAACTCAGTAAAAAAATGTTAAAAGATATGGCAAACTTTAACTTTTGCCATATCTCGTTCAAAACTCATGCTTAGTCAAATGGGAGCTACAATATTGAGATGGCACATTTGAATGCGATCTAGTATACTCTGTTATCTCCACGTTAGAATTTCTAACTGAAGTTCTCTTTTTTACTTTGAAATGACCTCTTGAGAGTAATTTTTGTGACCGGAGTGCAAGCAATTGGGAAGCAGCCTTGATTGACTAATAACCTATAAATTGCAGGTTGTTCAGCTGACAAAGTTTGACTACAGGCTTGCTAATGACCTTGATGATGACCTACAAAAATTGCGTTGCCGGGTTAATTATCATGGTCTAAGATTTACTAAATCTATACGGAGTCTGGGTCTGAGGCTAGTCACACGCATGCGGAAAATGGCAAAACGTTTTATTGCCGTTCATTTGAGGTTTGATATAACGTTGTCATTAGCATTCTAATTCTTCATGAATTTAACCTGCATTGAAAGAGACATTGTGAAATTTGTTATCAATATAACTTGATGATAAGCTGTTAAATGATCAAGAATACCGTTTCTATTTATGACGTCCCAGTCGAAATCCTATTGCCTCTATCTCGACAGAGTAAGGTGATTCTGTCACTGTTCCTATGAATTTGATTTTCGTCAAACATGGACTCTCGTCACATAAAGAGAAAGCATCGAAAATTTTAAGTATTATCCTAACTCAAGGTGTCTTAAAAGCATATATCATATAAAAGATTGATTTAATCGTCTTCCTACTATAATTTATCTATCTGTGATACTCTTACCACCTCAGTTTGTTAGTTGATATACTACGACAGGATGCTACTTTGTCACAGATGGCAGAGTTGAATTAGCTGGGTTTTTTGAAGTAAAAAAGAGCTCTATTGTTCTAATCCGTTGTACATCTCTACAATTTAGTACTCTGCTCGACCATCACTAGCTCCACATTTGCCTATTTAGTTATTTTTTTATCTTTTACTGGTTTGGAAGCAGGATTTTAAATTGTGATGTATTTCGAATTTGCTGTGTGTATTTATGTGCAGACTATGCTATCTTCTTTGAAATATATGTTACCTTCTTTGAAATATATGCTATCTTCCTTTAATCTTTAGTTTTATATCTGTTATCTGGAAATTGTAAATTGTAGGTTTGAACCTGACATGCTCGCATTTTCTGGGTGTTACTATGGTGGGGGTGATAAAGAAAGACATGAGCTCGGTGAGATTAGAAAGCGGTGGGACACATTACCTGTAAGATCCTGATTCATGCAAATATTTTGATTCTTGTATTACTGTTAAGTAGGTGTGAAAATTGGAACAAAAATTCCGAATTCCGCCGATTCCGATCCCAAATTTTCCAATTTTGGAACAAAGAATTTCATTTCGAATCCCGAAAAGTTTATATTCCGATTTTTCCGATTTTTTTTTATTTTTTTTATTTCAACTTCAAGACAAGTTTTTTCCTTCCAATTTCCGAAATTCTGATTTCCGGTGTTTACGATTTAAGTTGGCACGGAATTGGAATTAGATTTCGCCTTCAAATTATTTTTTGAAATTTTACAAAAGGGCTAATTCCGATCCGATCCGTCCGATTTCCACCCCCACTGTTAAGCAATAAATAAAGTGCAGTTCTCCTGAATCTCAATCGACTGCCTGGTTTAATTTTTTATCGAGATATTGTACTATGAAGCTAAAAACGGTCACAATATTCTTTTTGATGGGCTATCATTTGAAATAAAACGTTTTGTACTCTGTTTGGTGCTCAGGAATTAAGCCCGGATGAAGAGCGAACAAGAGGGAAGTGTCCTTTGACCCCTCATGAAGTTGGTTTGTTGCTTAGGGCTCTCGATTTTGACAACAGTACTTATCTTTATGTTGCATCTGGAGAAGTATACGGTGGAGAAGAAACTTTGAGGCCCCTCAAAGAGCTTTTCCCAAACTTCTACACAAAGGAAATGCTTGCAAGTCAAGAGTTGGAATCTCTTCTTCCCTTTTCTTCTCGTTTGGCCGCAATCGATTATATTGTCTGCGATGAAAGTGATGTCTTTGTCACTAATAACAACGGGAATATGGCAAAAATCCTAGCTGGTCGAAGGTACTTATCGAAGAAAACAGTCTCGTTTCAAATTTATATTCAAAGCTTAATAATCAAATCTCCAACTGCTACTCATTAATTTTCTTTCGTGTTGAAGGAGGTATATGGGTCACAAGAGGACAATAAGACCGAACGCGAAAAGGCTTAGCGCCCTGTTTGCCAGACGAGACAAAATGGAGTGGAGTACATTTTCAAGAAAGGTGAAATCGTGCCAAAGAGGATTCATGGGAGAACCTGAAGAGATGAGACCTGGAAGAGGGGACTTTAATGAATTTCCATCTGCGTGCATCTGCCAAAAACCACCCGAGTATTTCCCTCTAAACAAAAACCAGCCACATCAACATTTCGATAGGTTCCGAAATGTTTCTGTGGACGATGAATACTTTGGCAACGAACATCTTAGAAGTTAGAACGAGGTTCGTATAAGAAATAAAGACTATTTATATTATATATATAGAGGAGATTTGTCGTTGAGATGTTTTGTCCCTCAACTAGGTGAAATTCCACGCCAATTTCACTAATTTAATACGTGCAATCGGGCAATCTCTGTTCGCATTACTGGATGGGATTCATGTATAGCTCACTTGTAGCATCTGTGACCTTTAATTGTCTATATATATGTAAAATTATGCTTGTTTTGTTTTGTTTTGATTTTTTCCCCCACCAATTTTTGTTTCATATAAAGTAGAACCTCAATAACATAAAACTTGATAATATCACTTAATAATATTTTTATGTATCCCGACTTAGAGACAACGTGCTAAATTTGTACGATAACAAGTATTTGAAAATTCTTATAGACCCCACCAGGTATGTAAATTAGTAATGCATAGGATTAATGTCATGGTCTAAAACTTTTATGGAAATTAAATGGAAATATTCAATATATTACGATTAAAACAAAATTACAAATAAAAGGAAGCTCAAATGAATATGAAACTTCAAGAATGCAAGCTTGAAACCCTGCCGCGAACCTCAAATAACTTCAGAGAAGAAGAAGACCTAATACAAATTAGCTAAAGGTTTTGCCACGGCCCCCTTTATATTTATACTAAAACCTATAAAGAGAAAGTGTTGGAATTGAAAGCAAGAAATACGAGAATGATTTCTAACGAAATTAACAGTTGTTTGTTGTTTCTAGCTAGCCCCTCTGCCGCCACGTGTCGATTTGTTATTCGTGAAATTGAAATAGCGTTCAACTAAAAGAAGCATTAACTAATTATAAATGTGATTTTAAGTATATCTTTGAAATTGACAAATGCAATCCCATTCCTTCAATTCTTCTCTTCGTTTGCATGAATTTAGTAAGCTCGTTTTTTGCACATAACAATGCCTTCTTCTGAAATTGTCCTTGTCCTCAAGGACAAAAAGTTGGAAAGCGCCTATGTATATGTTTATAGGCCTCCCAAGTGCAATTTTCATCAGCCATGTTAAACCATTTGATCAAGATTTCAGTGACAACTTCGTTGTTCCTTTGCACCATCTTGTTGCCAAAGAATAGATTGTGGTTCAAGAATAATGTGCCCGTGTCCAGTGATATATGCGGATAAGTGTTTTTAGCTGATTTGTGATCCTATCTTCGTCTTCAATTGAGATACATGGAAAGTGGGATGGATGCTTAGAAATTTCTAGCAAATCCAGTGTAAGCTACTTCTCTAACCTTCTGAAGAATTTTATAAGGTCCAAAAAACCTTGTTGATAGCTTACGATAAGTGTGATCTCTCAAGGATGGTTGTTGTAAGTCTGCAACTTCACAGAGACTCAATCTCCCACAACAGATGACCTTTCACTCCTTTTATCAACTTGTACTTCCATCCTATTTGTGCCCTCTCCAACTGTTGTTTAATAATTTAATGGTAGTTTATATGCGTTGTAAACTCCTATCCACCAAATGATTTCAAGAACCTAAAGGTAGGTATGTCAAGTGCAAAGGAGGTTTCTGGTCATACATAATCTCATATGGGATAGTTAAATGTAGATGAGTGGTCGGTGACATTATAACACAACTCGGTTAGTGGCAACTATTGCACTTATTCTTTAGTCTCTCCAGTCATTCACCTCAAGCAACACTCAACACATTTATTGACCACCTGAGTCTGACCATCAGTTTTAGGATGTTAAGCAGTGGAGGGATGAAGCTGAATTTCTTGCATTTTGAAAACTCTTGCCAAAAGTTGCTCATGAAAATAAGGTTCATATCACTTACTATCACCTTATGCATGCCATATAATTTGTATACATTATCCAAAAAGGTTTGAGCCACCACACTAGCTGTATATATGGTGCTTCAGAGCCATAAAGTGTGCACACTTACTAAGCATGTCCACCAACACAAATATAGAATCCTTCCCTGCATAGGTGGGTAATCCTCTAATGAAATCCATAAATATCTCCTCCCAAATTCTAACTGGAATGGATAGGGGTTTTAATAAACTAGGAGACGCCACATTTTTTTCCTTTGTTTCATTGACACACGTCACACTGTTACATTAATATATACACATCAGTCTTCAAACCCTTTCAATACAGTAGGTGCTTGATTCTGTGAAGTGTGCTATGACTGCTTGAGTGTCCTCAACAGTTGAGCCATGATAATGGTTCAGAATTTTCCGTTTCAATGCTTATTGACTTCCCACCATCAACTTGCCCTCCTCAGCAACAAATTATTATCCCAGGTATAAGAAGGTTTGTAGTTAGTATCATTTTGAAATGTTGTGATGATCTTCTTATGTTTAGGATCAGTAAAATAAGTTTCCTTAATCTCCTCCAGAAATGAGCAGTGAACCATATTAATAGTCTGCAATGTAATCTTATTGTTGACCCTTGAAAGTCCACATGCCTCTACATTTTCCTTTCCCCGACTGTAAATTCATACCCCGAAACCATTTTTGTTAAGTTGCGGTACACACTCTTTGGTCCATTAAGTATTTGAAACTTTGGTGATCAATTCTCAAGTAAAATGGTTTCCTATGAGGTAGCTAGGGTCTCTATTTATGTACAACAACTCTTTTTTCATAAGTAGACAACCCCATTGCCTCACAGTGATTGCTTTACTTATAAATGATAAAGAAATCATCAAAAAAAAAGGCTAGTATCAATTTCCTAAGATGATCGTGGAATACTTTATTCATCAACTCTGGAATGTGGAAGAATAATTTGTCAAACAAAATGCGTGATCAAAAACTCAATGTGACCATGGTGAGTTCTGAATGTAGTTTTCATGATATCTGCCTCTTGCGTTCTTATCTGGTGGTAACCAAACATCAAGTCTAGTTTACAAAACACACTGGCCGGCCCCATACAACTCATCAAACAACTCTTCAATCATGGGGGTATGGAACTAATCCTTCGTATTGTGTTTATTTAATCCCCTACAGTCTACACTCATTCTCCAACTATTGTCCTTTTTTGTTGAGCAACACTACTGGAGAAGAAAAAGGGCTAAAACTCTCCCTTATAACCCCAGGTTGTAACAACTCCTGCACAATCTTCTCTATCCAGTTTTCTGCGCAACTGAATACATATATGGTCTCACATTCACTGCTTCTGCTTCTGATTCATCATTCAAATGAATTATATGTTCGTAATATCTATGGGGTGGTAACTTTTTTTGGCTCTGTAAACAAATCACCCATCAACAATTGTGATATTTCTCCATCCAGTGTATACTTCAATGATTGAAAACTAGCCACATAATCATGCGGTTTATCTAATTGGTTGGGATGCAATTCAGTGTGTGGAGACTCTCCATTAACCCCAATACTTCCTTGAAGGCTCCTAATACATTGATATGTATTTGGGATGGTTTCTGCAATATTTTTATTTAGTTTTATTGTTGGAAACGAGCTTAACTGGATTTTGTTTGAGTCCCCTCAGTACCATTTTCTTGTCAAAAGGATCGAACTCCATCTTCAGTTGTTAATAGTTGTTACTAATGTCCTCTTGACGCAGAACGGAAGCACAGTAAAGAATTAATTTCTACGAATTAATCCTATAGAACAAAATAACATTCGGAATCCACCGAAAACTCTGGAATCCACCAGAAAAATAGAGAAAACTCTAAATATTTTATTAAAATTCGAAAAATCTTCTAAAATAAAGTCCTAAAGCAGCTATTTATACTAAAAAACTGAAAACCCTAATTAAAATAAGAAAATACTAAAAATTACCAAAAACGACAAAAACGAGTTAGAGTAGATCTCGTAATTTTGGGAACAAACCAATTTACGGAATCCTAATCCGATTTTTCTATGATTTGATATTAATTTTCTAAAACTTACCTAAAATAGCACAAACGAACTTTTGGGAGTCTAAACGACGTTGGATTGCTGAAATTTGACGTGATTCATGAGCTATGCTCATGAGTTTTGTTCCTTGCGCCGTTTCACTTGAGATAGAGTTCGTTTCGTACTCAAATACAATTTGAGTTTTTCGAAAACCCTTACTTTTCAATAATTTCTTTCGATATTTCCACCAATGCCCATTAATAACTCTTCTCCGAATTAAATAGTTATTTTGCAACTCGAATCCAATTTGACGTCCCTTATCACCTCTAATGTCACAAGCCACTGTATTCCCAACAAAAAATCACAACTTCTCATCACCTCATCATTGAAATTCACATCATTCGTTTTCAAAATAACATTGAGCATTTTTGTACTTATACTCATGAACCTGATTCCCTCAATACAAGTAGAGGCTTCATCTCTTCGAACATACATCCCAAGGTCTTTGGATTTTGAAGATCAACAAAGTTACGGATGGCTCCATTGTCAATGAATATGTGTATAGTCTTACCTTTTGATGATCCAGTGAGTCTCACTCATGGTTTTAAAATCGTGCACTCTAGTCATTTCATACACTGAGACATGGAAAATATAATGGAATCTTCATTCCTCCATTATATTCTTGTCTATGTTCAGAAGTTATAGTTGAAAGGTACTCTCCTTCTACTTCAGTTGGTGAGAGTCTTCTTCCAACATCTCCATCACATAAATGTACTGTCTCTTTTTTGGACAGTGATATATGATCATTAGAATATTTTTCATCATTCAAAAAGTAAAGACCCCTTATCTCTTGTCATCTACTTTATTGTTACTCAACCTTCTGGACCTGGAGCTCGCGGTGCTGTAGCTGGTGGATCTGTGGAATTCATCAATTTTGACATCATCAAACCCGTGGCAGCTCGCATCTCTTCCATGGTTTTGAATGTCTCCACCCTACTCCTTATCTACCATGGCATGTATAGTATATATTCCATCATCGTGTCTATCTCTTTGCGCAGCTCCGCGAAACATGTTCCCTCCACCATGTTGATACAAGTTTTAAGTAGAGGATCTAGCTAGAGCCGCAGAGCCGCCGAGGATCGATGGCTCTTATACCAACTGTAATGGTCTAAAACCTTTATGGAAATTAAATAAAAAATAAACGGTAATATTCGATATATTACGATCAAAATAGAATAACAGTTAAAAGGAAGCAATCTGGGAAGCTCAAACAAAGTTGTACACCAAAATATCATCAAAGAACGCCAGGATAAATTCTCTGAAGATCTCATTCGTGAGTGTCTGGAATGTGGCAGGTGTATTCGTCAATTCAAAAGGCATTACTTTAAAGTCATAGTGTCCAAAAGTTGTTACAATGTTGTATCGAGGATATTCTCTTGTTTAACTCCGATTTAATGATATCCATCTTTTAAACCAATCTTAGAGAATACCTTGGCACATTGTAATTCATCTACAATCTCATTAATAATTGCAAAAGGATTGAGCTTTATGTACTTAATGCTAATCTCCTGGTGCCATCCTTTTTTTTTAACTAGGAGCACTGGAGATGAGAAATGACTTGTACATCAACCATATTCTCAATCTCTTTCCTCTGAAGATAAAGGTACTTCAGTACTTGTACTTCAGTACCTTTCTAATTAGGATTTCTACTTTCTCTCCAATGATAACATGTATGTATAGAGACTGCAGGTTTTAGTCATTGCATCACAATCTCCTTGCCATTTTGATAACAAGTAACTCTTTGTTTAGTGAAATATATGAAACGTGAAAGGCTCCAAGTGTTTCAGCAAATCCACTCCAATAACTAAATCACACGCTCTTATAATCACGAATAATCTCTTGCACTTGTGGCCATATGTGAACTTTTCATCACAATTGAAACGTAGGCCATTTTTCTTCCTCTCTTCCCAATTTACATTAGATAACCTCTTTACATGAGTTGGTTTCTCTTCAACTCGAGGATTACTCTTGGTAGAGTATTCCCGCTCTTAGATCCCGTATACACATCATTGGGTCCCTTTTGATAACTCCTCATGCTCTTATGCAGTTGATCATTAGCCTTTTCTTGTAACCTAGCCATACTAATAGATTGATTCTTTCAAGGTTTTTGGTTTTAGCAGTATCATACTCTTAATCTCCTCCTTCAAGCCACTAGTGAAGTTGTTAATGATAAACCTCCAAAAATATTGTGTTCATGTGAAGCATGAATGCCTTCAGCTCTTCAAATTTGTCTATGTACAACTCTATTGTGCTCTCCTATCTGAGTTTATTGAAAGTTTCTATTAGACTATCATCCTCCTCTTCTCCAAATCTTTCCATCACCAATTCCACAAATGTGTGCCAATCCACGGATTCCTTTCCGTCTAAGTAATTTGTGTTCCAATGGTCTGCCTTCCCTTCCATATACATGGAAGCACAAACAATTTTCTCATTGCCATCCGATTTATGTAGAAATATTTATGACACTTTCGAATCCAACCACGTGGATTCTCTCAATTTAAATGTGGAAAGTTCAATTTCGGTTCCTTTATGACCACTATTTCCCCCATAATCCTTTTGGCTATTATTTCCGCCATACTTCCCTAATTTGGGGATGCATGGGAATAGTGTAAGGTGTACTGGTCTCCGATCTCCCTCGTGCCGTTGGATTCGACGGCAATCCACCACTGGAAATCGGCTCCTTACCGCGATTTTCAGATAACAGTTGACCAAATTCATCAAATTATGAAGCAATCTTCCATGTTGCTTCGCCAATCCTCTCTTCGATATTGTTTTTCAACTCTATCCTCAGATTATGCTAACCTTCAAATAAGCTCACCATAGATTTTACATGATCCTCCATTGCAACGACATGTTGCTCCAGTGCCTCTACTTTATTACTATTATTCTTCGCCATTGCTTAGGGTTTGAGAGTGCTCTTGTGCCAGGAAATCTCTCTGATGGCCACTTGTTAAGAACGAGAACACAAAGAAAGAAAACGAATTAAGATTGTACTGATAATTTGGGCAAAACACCCATCAGTTCTTCGATAATCACAAATCAACCTACTAACTTCTATTTATAGCTGACCTATTAACAAATCAGCTCTAATTAGTAGTTAAAACTGAAATGACACGTGTATAAGTTTGATTGGTTCTGAGCTCCAGCTTAAGCTACAAAACCCCTAAATTTTATTATTTGGAAGCACACATTTATAACTTATAAGAAAAGGCATATTTGCATAATTGAAGGAATTTTATCAAGGTCCATTCGGAAGTAAGGATTTGATTTGGGAAAAGGACTTGGCAGAAGGATTTGAAATAACTCCAATTTCGAGTCATTTGGAATCCACCACAACTGCTCCAAAAACTACTAAAAGAGAGGGGTGTGGATTTGAAATTCCATGACAAATCCCTCAATCCAACCAAGTGCAAGGAATTTGTTATTATGGATTTGAAACCCCTCCTCCAAATCCCTCCATCTAAATGCACCCTCATTGTATTTTCATTTTCTCCAAGTTTTTATTACCAGTCATTAATGCATATGAAGAGTTAAACATACTAAGACAGACTAACATTTATCAGTTGCGCAAGTTTAATAAAGTTAGGCTTCGTCTGCAAAGTTAACGGCGAAGTATCACAAGTTTCCAATATACAAAGGAACATGAAATTTAAAAAGATCTCTACTCGTGTATTCCCGCTAAAATCAATATTGACACCTACTGCCTAAATTTTATATCTGAAACCACAAAGAAGTGAGCAAGCAAAATCACATTCTCACTCTAACAACTCTTTTCTTATATAACAAATAAATCTACAGATAACAACAACAGCAACAACTACTACAGATAACACCTCTTTCTTCCAGCTCTGCTGCCCTATCAACCGCGGCTATTGTTCCCTATTAAGAAACAAACATAATATATATATGATCAGTGTGATTATCCCTTTTCGACGAGTGAAAATAAACTCAGTATTTTACCTCTGTTTGTCGTGCTTTTATTCTGCAGACTCCTCTGGCTTTTGTCATGTGAAGATGATGGGGTCTTTGAGATTACCAGCGAACTTTGCAGCCCTTCCAATAGCTGTGGATAGAATAACATACGCACATAAACAATTTTTTCACCAGTCGTAAATTGTATGCTCCCGCAAGATATAAATATCATTCCCGGTCAAATGAAAATTTAGTCGTAAGTACAAGCCTTTCCTCCTTTGGATGCGACCAGAACTCCAATTACAGTTTAAACTACGTTTTTTTTTTAATTTCATGACCAATGCATCAGGCACTTTGTATTGCCATTTTTGAAAAAAAAGTTGCCTTCGATGTTGGTTAAAAATAAGAAAAGGACCAAAAGAAAGAAGAGTTACCCTTGATGTTGGCTGAATTCGGCGATTCGAGCGGCGGGGTTCCGCAACTTCAGAATCTACGTTTTCATTTGTTTCGTTATTTGTTAATCTTCCACCAGCAGAAGGCGCAACAGGTCTTCCTTGGTGTAGCCGCTGTGATGCAATATTCCTTGTTGCTGCTTTCTTACGGTTTTGTTGTGCAAGAGCTTGAGCAGAAAAAACGATAGGGCCTCCTGCAGTCTTTTTGTCGTTATGTAAAGATCCAGATTCAGCAGCAAGGTTTTCCTCACCTGACTCATTCTCATCATTGCTTGTAGAGCCCTTTACTAAATGATCTGATACAGCAGCACCCCGTGAATTAGGTCGTGAAGAGGTTGATTCGTCTTTCCGTGCTACAGTTCTACTTGGGATGCTCGGTGGCTTATCAGACTTGAGTGCTCTTGGTCGAGACTCTGCTACTACTTGTTTGTCCTTCAAATCAATTCTAGAATTACTTTTGAGTCCTCGAGACCCTGTTCCTTGAGGCATCAGGTACTTGGCTAATTTAGCTGAATCGTTAGGCACATTGGTCTTGGTGCTCCTATCAGACACGTAATGTTTGCTTACTTCCATGAACTTTCTCTTCTTTCCAGGCTTAGGGACACCAAATACAACCCTTGATCCTTCTTTCTGTAAACCAGACCTCATTGTCCTGAGCATGGTGGGTTTATTCTCCTCCCTTATAGTACCCATATTAAAAACTTTTTCATTAGCAGACAAAGGCAATCTTGGTTCTTCGTTCCTCTCTATTTCTACAAAATCAATGTTTTTAGCCATCTTTGCCTTCCCTTTTGCCTCCATACTGGTGGTTTCCAGCTTTGGTCGCTTCTCCTGAGGCGTATCTCCCTGTAAATAGATGTATTGCTAAGCTGAACAGAAAAATCATCCATTTCATATAATCAGTGCTAAACTGTACACACAATCACAATATAAAACCTGGTTGGTGCTATCCTGCCCGGGCCGTGCACATTCAATCCATTGGCCATCATTCCAAATTAAAGTTGGTCGTAGATGCCACACTTTGACCAATAATGTCTCTCCTTGAGCTGCATATGCCACAAAAGGAACTTTGTGTAAGCAATATCACACATCAAAAGCACCGAGTGCATACAGTTAGTCGTGTACGTAACAAGAAATACCTGGAAAATTGACAGTCAAAGTAGTTGCATCTTTTTTATTCTTTTCTGCAATAATGCCTTCGCGCCAGCTGAAGCGACACCGCCAAAGTTTTAGATTCAAAACCAAATCAATATATGTAATTGAAGCATATTTCAGTATTTTGTTACAAAACTAACTATGCTAAAAACCAATGTATCAGTAATTAAATTACTCCTAAACTAAAGATACAGTACTGCGGTCTCATGCTATTAACTTTAAAAGACGATGGTTACGCATGCTTATTAAGATTATCAGAAATTAACATCCTTTAAGCAACAGAAAAAAGTGAAACGTCGATTTCCTAGTCGGTTTCCGAATCAGCGCTGAAAATTCAACTAAAAGAACTTACAGACGGACATATTTCTTGCACAACTAAAACATCTCTGCTAGAGTCTTTCATGATTAATTACTAAATCCTGGGTGTTGACAACATTCTCCAGAGGGTACAGAATAAATAAACAAAAAAACTTCAAACAAAATATAAAGAAATCAATGACATTGTGCATACAAAAGATATCTGAGCCCTCTGCCCCATTAAAAAACAATGCAAGACGCAGAAACGAAAAAAGGGCACGACAACGTGCACAAATGAGGTAATAGGGCATGCATAAAGTGAAATAATTCAGACAGATACAAGCTCTCAATCCGCTTCCATTACCTTATCCACTCTAAAAATTAGGGAACTAGATCTGACAGACCTATTTTTCTCCCATGATATAATTCAGACAGATACAAGCTGAAGTAAAATAAATCAGGAAGTACTACAACGATTAGCCACGTAATATAAATTTGCCACACTCCCGATAACCAGTGAGCACGGAACTCATAACTTACCGGAGTACGAAAGAAGTTTGGCCTCACTGGTTTAGAAATCACCAGATACTTGGGAAATAAATGCATAATTAATAATCATTAAATTCAAGCACCAGTAAAACCAAGCCATCTTAATAGCACATATTAAATTGGACATCATATATAAAGTTGTTCTTACCAATCTTGAACCCATGCATCAACTCTGTCTCCAACAGACCACGTGTAATCCTTGATAGCAGAACGACGCCTCTTCTTGGTTCCCTCAAATTGTAGAGTGGTCATGGGATGGGGTATGCGTACTTTTGGAGCTTCGCCATCCTTTGCTTCTATAGATATCCACTCCTTGAGCGGATCTGACCCTAAAAGGAAGAACACATTCATGATGTGACTGGAAAACACACACACACACACACAAGGTAAAATTATCTTGAATAGAGAACGTCTCATCCTACCAGGTGCATTCTTGTTTGAAGAGAAATGAAGTCGGTCGAAATGAAAAAATGAAGCTATTTAACAGTCAATGGCTTTGTGATATGATGCAAATTTCTCATGATGAAGCCCATCAGTCTCTTTTCTTTTTCTTTTCTCTCTTAAACAAATCTTCTATATGTTCTTACATTTTGATCCAATTTTAAGATAACAATTAAAAAACCCTAAAGCTATTTTAAAAATGTATGAGGAAACCTTATAGCCAAACCAGTCAACAAAAGATTTTGCACCAGAGGATATACAAGCAATTCCGTGCCTTTTACTGTCTGGAGTAATTACTAGTTCCCTACTAAACATACAAAAAGCAACAACTGACCTTCATCAGATAGTTCAGTGTAACAAACCAAGGCTTCACCATCTCTCAAACTGAATACACTCGCTGAAAACCATGCCGGCCTTAAATCACCACGATCTTTAAGAACCTGCATTGTCAAGCAGTTCAAACTTCTTTTAAAATGAAATGACAAAATAATAATATCATTACAAAAAAATTTGACGAAGGAAGTGGAGCTGAATGACTGTTGGATTACACAACCAGAAATAGGAAACTCAATAAAGGCAAAGAAAAATCAAGACAAAGCAAGATCACAAACCTCAACATGGGAACCTGCTTGTATTCTGGCTATGCTAAACAAGTTTGATCCAGATTCGGTATCAGGTTCAGAAACAACACCAGCAGTTTTAGCTGATTCAGGTACTTTTTTATCCTTCTGATGTTCTAAACTGCCGTCTTCATGCGTGATAGAAGCTATAAGATTCTCTTCTACTGTGACATGATCATCCACCATAGTTCTAGGTAACTCCATTTGAATAGGAGCTACAAGATCACTTTTAGTAAGCATATCCTTGCCAGGCCTCTCATGTTGGCTCACATAAACATTAGGAACCCCTCCAGCATTGCTAGTCAGAGATTTTTTCATAGTAGTGTCATTAGGTTTTGAACCAGGAACAATAGCCACCTGTGAGGCTTTCCAATAGTTATTCAGCCCGGCTTCTGCTAATTCACTCAAAGAGAAAGGATCGCCCATAGCAACAATTTTTCCAGTATGAGAAACTGCTTCTGCTGATAACTCTGCTGCCTTTACAATGGCATCAAGAATTTCAGCATGCCTTGTGGCTGCTGAAGCAGCCTCAATTCTTTTCCTAGCAGCCTCCCTAGCAGCCGTTATTGCTAAATTGGGTACACTGTTCCGATCCCCACCCTTAAAAATGGATACAGGCGAAGCATTCCCCACATTCACAGAACTAGAAGTCAAAATTGAATCATAAGCCGGAGGATTGTTAGTTCCAGACTTGGTCAATGCTTCATCAGCCATATGTTTTGCTTGCACTGCAACACTTGATGCAATCTTAGCAGCTGCAGCAGCTGCCTTTGCAACAGAAGCAGCTGCTGCCATAGCAACAGCAGCAAATGCTAGTTTAGACTCAGCTTCTGATGTCAAGCCAGAACTTTTTTGCTGATCCAACTGGCTCCAGATACTCTCACAATGAGTGACAGTAGCAGTAGCATGTGCAGCAGCCTCCTGTGCGTGTAACTTAGCCTCCTCAACGTTGCTAGAACCTCCAATAAGTAGCGCCCTCTTATCTGTACTTACATCACCTCTTTTTAGGTGATCACTAGAAATTGATGGCGATGCCACAGTGAAAAACTGGTTGGTGGTGCCTTTTGGCACAAAGCTAAAGGGGGTTGTGACAGCAACTGATGTAGAATAATGACTACTGACAACAGGTCTAGGCATTTGGTTCGCCTGATTCCGAGCAATGAAAGAGATTTGACTAATATCCTCAACTGCAGCACCCTTGTCGGACAACGGACTAGGTACTATAGAAGAGACAGTAACTGGCAGAGAAGCTGACACAGATATCTCTACAGAATCCTCAGCACCAGAAGATTTCTTTCGCTTTCTAGTTTTTTTATCAGCAGTCTGTCCAGTTGATACTTTTCCCTTTTTCAAGTTCTGCGAAGGAGCTTCACCAAACATAGTACTGTCCCCAGTACGATTAGCAGGAATGGGAGATGCATGCTTTGCACCAGAGGAAATAGGCAAAGACGGTTCTTTAACTGAGGTTAACTTCACAGATTCTGTGATAGGAAAAGCAGGATAACTAGTACTGGCAGGAGAACTTTGGGAAGAGGCCAACCAGGGTACTGCGAATGGAGCCTGAGATGGCCAAGTAGTCTGAGCTATGTAATTTCGTATAGGTGGAGTCTGATAGGGATTCAAGGGAGAAACAGCCTGATAGTCAACAACAGCACTTCTGACCATGCTGCTGGGTGCCAGTGCCTCACTAGATGGGGTAGACATAGTCCACAAGGGTGATGAGAAAGACATCATCGGATTAACAACAGGAGAAGGCATGGTCTTGTTGCTTGCTCGACCAGCCATGGAGGTAAGAACTTCACTTTGAGGGAAGCCTTGTCTATTTGTATGATCTGGAGCTTTAGCACCTGCATATTTCGATGTCAATGATCATCCAATAGTAACATGTAAACACAAATACCAGAAAGCAGGATAGAATACCTGAACGAGAGGGTACAGGTGTTTCGCTATTATTTCCTTGCATTTTCTGACCATGAAGCCTTTCTACACAAGCACGCCAAGAAGTCTCCCAAATGCTCCTGCCTCCATCTATTTTTAAGGAAAAGAAAATCAAGAATGCAATTGGCCAGCTACCATTTATTAAAGTAGAGGAGGCTAACAACCCTCCTATATGTACAAAGACTATTACATCCTTCATTACTAAAAATTAAATAAAAACATATAACCACAAATTACACAAAATTACTCAAATCACAATCAGAATGCACTGTTTTGATAGATACTTCTCAAAATGATCCAAAAGTGGTGTGTTTATGAGCATTTCACCTTCAACTTGAAACAAATGTCGAATTTTACATTTGGTAATGGCAATTCAGATGCTACAGACCGAAACATCACAATTTTGGGTAGATAAACAACCAAGACATCATCAGTAACCAACCCAAAAAAATTAATAAATTGTTACCTATTGAAATTAGTCAAAAATCAGCAATAAAAAAACCAGCGGTTACCTACCAAAATTTGTGGAAACAATCACAAGTTAACTACCAAATACTTGGATGGGGATGCATGTGAATTCAGTGATTGGGTTTTTTGTTAAATGGATTAGAGAAGGTAGATCCGGAAATTCTGGTTGGATAATTTTTTGGAAACTTTGGGTAGTGAAAGAAATATGGTAGTGTCATTAGTATTTTTCCTTTTTTTTCTGTTTTCGTTGATAAACCAGCTACTTCATATTTCAACCTAACACCCACAAGGACAAAAAACAAATAAAAAGAGATGAAGTAAAACCTAAATAACTGCACATACCAAAGGCTGAAACCATATGAGCCTCATCAGGTGCTGCCCCTTGTCTGCAAAAAAGAACATCATTCAAACAAAACAACAGATGAATTGACACATAATAATTGCATCACAGAACAAAAGCTCAATAAGTGTAGGATGGCGAAATTAATTTCTTGTGGACAAATTAATCCACTAACTAATATTTTCAGTTGTGTGCTCCAGATCAAACAAAACATTGACAAAGACTCACATCAGAGATCCATAAACAAAGATTTGTGCTCGCAGTTGCACTTGTTGTAGATCAGTAAAAGGCTGCTGAAAGAATGCAGATGATGGAGCAGAAGTATTAAGATCAGGCAAACTGGATGTAGGAATAGAAACTGGCCCCCTTGATTTCACAATATTTTCAAATGTCATGATTTGACCGGCCCCTAACGGACTCAAAAACGGAGATGATTTATCCCACTTCTCAGTCTGCCTCAAAGGAGTCATTTCTTTCAACTGATTCCCCTTACTTGCACTTCCCTTCCCAGATTTACTGCTGCTACGTCTTGGTTTACGCTCAGAGGGACCTCTGGGACCTCCAGGAGAAGAACCAACATTAGTAATTTCTTTCACTGTCATTGGATCTGTCTGGCTGCTACCTGATGTTGAAGAAGATTCTTCCCCAGTCTTCAGCAAAAAAACATGGGAAAGATATTTAAATAGATAAAATAAATTAAAAAAAACAGTAGAAATCAAAGAAAATGAACAAATCAATAAATGAAAGGTAAACAATAGAAAATGGCCGGATAGAAGGAATACCAAAGACATTTTGCATGCTTTAATTCTTGGAAATGATTGCAAACCCTTGCTGGAATCTCCTGTAACCTGACCTTCCAGAAGCTTGACGTCGAAAGTAAAGCTCCCCTCTTGTTTGGATAGAACGTTTACTTCTGGTATCTCGGATGTTGTCAGAACTTTGCCAATATTTTCAACATCATTTCTTTCTCGAGACACTCCCTCGTTTATATCCTTTTGTGAAAGATCACCACCACTAGGGCTGAGGACAGCAATCTGCTTAGACTTATCAATTTCTACAGTACAGCTGGTAACTGCAAGCATGTGAATAGCAGAACTTGTAAGTTATTAGGAAAACTAGGAAGAAGAAAATACAGCTTGCAAATAGACAACTATTGAAGTGAAAAGGCCCGTGGTTGCATAAAAGTTGCTTGCTGAAAAATGACATTGTCCTTATATACAAAAACACACAGTTTAACCAGTTCGGAGTCATAATAGAAAGTACTTATTTTCAAATATAGATTATTAAGAAAGACATAGAATAGCATGATGATGAACGGGATCTCAAATCAACTATTATTACATTTCAGCTAAGACAATCAAGAGTCACTTCTTTCATGTAAAGAGAATCTTGACTTACAATCATTAAATTCCATTTGTTTTTGTCTAACTTTTAACTGCTTTCTTTTCTAAATCAAGATACAGATGATATAAATTGTCACTTGTATCTACTATTTCAAATCGTTATTCATTTCTACTTTCTACAGCATGATTTTCTAGACGAGATTTTAAAAATACAAACTACACAAGTTAACCTTGATCATTATTCATTAATGATTAATTTAGCTGAGCTCAACCTCTAGACAAATTATGTCAAATGGTCCCAATCAGTCTCTTTTTCTTCAATAAGAAAATAGGGTTTCCCTTGCACATTTGTTCTTAACAGAAAAGTTTATGCTTCTGACTTTACATATATACAACACATTCAAAGTCAATCACTACAGCATTGAAATTCTGCACCTGGTCTAAATACGTACAAACTCTTTATTAAGCTTAAAATACTACTGTTCTATTTCTGATTTTTTTCAAAACTTTCTTGAATATATAATGTCAGTTGATATACAGGCCTGATGATTTTCAACTATGTCACAAACATAATGGAACTCTGTCTAAGATGACGACCTATCTGAGCCTTTTTGAACCATGGAAAGACATGATCAGCAACCAGTGGACCAGTGGGTGTACAGAATCATGGTTTCAAAAGATAAGAGATAACTCACCTGACACAGTTAAAGATTCTTTTCCAGGGTTTCTTTCTGTTTCTACGTCCATTGGCTCTTCAATATGTGCAGCTTCAGCACCATCATCTTGCACCATCAAATCATTGGCAGAATGTTCCATCTCTTTATTCAACACCTTACAGGCTTCATCAGGGATAGTAACACTGGAAGTCTCCTCCAAGGAAACAGATTGATCAATTGCCATTGCTTCTCCTACTGCAGAACAAAGCAGCGGATGTTCAGCCTTGTCGGTTTCAGTGCCAGAGGCGAGCTCATTTGATTCCAAAATCTCCTTTGATGGTAAGGTACTTGTAGGGGCTTCAGTTTCATTTTCTTTACTCTGATCCATGTTTTGTGTATCACATGAAGGTTGCTTACGCTCATGACCATCAACTAATTCATCACCCTCAGCACATGATGGTGGGTTTACAACTTCAACCTCAGTATGCATTACTACAAGGAAATTTATCATATCATAGGAATTAATGTTTGCACTTTGGACGGGATAATCAGATTCCCAAGCATGATCGTACAGGTTATTAAAAAGATACGATGAAGAAAAATAATACAGCAAAACAGTAAGATACCTGGACAATCGCTAGCAGAATTATTGGGTTCTGATCCAGTAGTTGTTTCACCTTCTACTTTCTCACCTATGGGAGTTGATCCCACTTCTTTTTCATTGTCATCACGGAGTATATTACTTGAATCAAGAGGCAATTTATTTTCCTCTTTTTCATTGGCAGGAACATCCAATTCACTTTCATGAGCATCCGCCGGCATCGAGATAATATCTTCAGTGCATGTCTGTGTGCTCCCAGATATCAAGGGAGGGGGAACATGATCCTCATCATGTATGTCCTCTTCCTGTATTGCAGCAGTATCTCTGGCATCTGTCATATCATCAATCACTGATTCCTCCCCAAGACATTCACCAGCAAAGCTAGAAGATGTTGGGTTGCCAGGACCATCTGCATTATTGCTTTGACCATCTTCCTCGGAAGGATTACCTGGTACAGCATGTAACATAGAGGACCCAACGGTAACATCTATAGGCATAAGAGAGCTGTTACTTCCATGAAAAACATTTTCATTAACAGCACAACTGTCATGCTGATCCGAAGATTGGATAACAGGAACCTGCTCCTTCTCATAATTGCTGTAAAGTGCAGAGGCAACAACATCATTGCCTTCTGTCCCAAGCCTCTCATTATCTTCTTCCTGAAGGGAGATAGATGACTTTTCATGCAGTAAGCTATAACCTTCCGATAGATGATTAATCTCTGTGGCTGACGATAAATTTCCAGTTTCTTGTTGACTGCCACTTGCAGGTTCAACCACAAACACAACCTCATTGCACCCATCAATTGTAGCTACATAATCTCCCTTTACGGGTCTAGATACTTCTTCAAAATCAGTAGCTGGAATTATAACTGCATGATCTTCTTTTAACGATTCAATTCCTGAACGAACTTCATGAGAATCATGCCTCTCTGTATTAACAGTTTCAGCTGCAGTCTCACCCAAGCTGTCATCATTTTTGTTGCACCTTTCGTCCTGTTCCTCAACTGAATCAGAAATACCTTTTGCTACACCACTTGGACTTACAAAACTAGAATCACTAATTATATCCTGATCAACAGACTCTTTAACACTAACATCAACATTCTGAGCGGAACTCTCAATATTGTCGATCTCCATGCCAAGAACAGGTAATTTTTCTTGCACTAGATTGGAGAGAGATTCATCGACCAAGTCACGAGTTTCGCCTTGATTATCAAGGGTTCTCATCGTGTCAGCATTTGAATTCGCAGAGGTAACATTTAAACTACCTTCTTTGATATCAACATGGACTCCATAGAAAGAAACTTTTTTCTCCTGAACCTGTATAATATGTTCAGTGTGAACGCCTTCAACTCCTGTACTCTGATTTAACCTAGAAATGTTTCCCTCAACTTCAGCAGGCGGTAAAGAAGGATCTCCATTGTCAACATCATCAACTTTACAGTCCTGCCTCAAGCTGTTCTCCGTTGATCTTGTTGAGCTGCCCAGCTGATCACCTGGATCTGATTCCTCGATCATATTTTCTCCTGGGACCATTTCGTCTTGTCCAACTGCCTTCAATAACATTTCAACAGATTCAGATGATGTTGCCTCAGACCAGACATTGATATGCCTTGGCAAAGCACAAGATTCTGCTGCCCTGGAGCTGAACTCTATTCCACTTCCTCCCCGAGAAAAATCCTCAATCCACTGATTGTCGTCCTGACTTGGAATGCCAAGAAAAACTTCGTTTTCAACTAAACTATCAAATCTCAAATGCCCATGAAGACTGTCATCAAAATCAAATTTCGGAAGAGCAAATGGTCGCAAAACAGAAGAGATCTTAGATGTCTCTTCTCCAGCTAAGTGAAGATTCTGGCCTTCATAGTCATTGTCACTATAATCCATTGGTTTATGCCTAAAGGAAAAAGGAGCCCAGCAAGAAATGAAAACCAATTTTAAAAGAAAACTATAGTCTGGTCAAATAAGTTGAACAGCGAAACTCATCATAGCATCATGGGAACAACAAACACGCATAATTGTGAGCATAACAGAATTTACATTAAGATTGGACACTGAACAACCAGGGAAATAAAGCCAAGAACATTTTCACTTAATCCAACGTGACAATAGGTCTGAAACGTGAAACAAGAGATGGACTGACAAGAAGAGAAGTTTGAGTTCCTGTCTTCTGGATGTTGGAGTGCAGTGTGTACCAAAGGTTAGAGTGCATGTGTACGCCTTTGGATATAATCAATTTAATTGTGAAAACACAAAAAGGGAAATGCGTCCAAAAAGATTAGGTATCTAGTCCTGTACAGTAAAACTGAAGCCCAATATTGATACCAAACCACATACTGAGTTTTATTTAGATGATAACTGAACCAAAGGTTTCAAATGTTGATATGATTTATTCATACTGGTAATTTACTTTGATGCGAGGAAAAATCGATATGTGCAAATTCCTAAGTATCTCTAAGTGATGACCTTAAGGAATTCTTAGCCTTATGTTCAATAAGAAAATTTTGCATCTCTGTTATCAGTTTTGAACGAGGCCATGTCAAGATGAAAAATTCAGTAATTACGAAGGCAGCAAATTACTATCCCAGTCAACATGGATAACAAGGGAAGCTTGGTTTCCAAACTAATACAGCAGACACAATGGTGAAAAATTATACCATAAATTCTAATCTTTTGCATTAATGATGCACTTCGAATTGACAAAGCGATTCACTTATCCAAACCATTAATAGTGTTCCACTGTGCATGCGATTTTATAACCTTATTTCATAGAGAGGACAACAAAAGACAAGTTCCAGGCAGACTCTTCCTATACAAGTTCAAAACAAAATCATTTTTTTCTGCCTGACAACTTTATCATCAGATCAGGGCAAACGGCATACCTAAGACACCCAAAAACCTTTCAATCGAAAACGTAATGGGGAGAAAAAAGCCGACTCCCACATAGGAAAAAACTAGAAGTAAAAAAACACATTTTTCAAATCAGACTTGCAACGAAGTAAGTCCAATAATAAAGGTCAGGAGGACCGCTGTATACGAAAACCTATTCTAGTATGTAAAGGGTGGAAGCATGTAAATTTGTAAATACTAACAAAATCTCTCCGAAAACCGTTAAACATAAAATCCAAACCTAATCCTAGTTAAAATCTATATAGCAAAAGGAACTGTAAAAACTGATTTCCAATAAAAAAAAAAAAACCTAGTAGAAATTTCCTCAAGTTATTGAACGAAATCAGTTCATTCGTGACTAAAAACCCTGGTAAACGCAAGTCAATCCACCAGTAAGAAACAAATTTAAGAAAACCCTCTTCATAACTTGACGTGGAGCCCTCTGCTTTCATGCACCACTAGTGTAACAAACGAAAGCCCCAAATCGAAAACTGCCTCCACAAACCAAAAACCAAAACCCAATATCCAAAGGGCCTAAAAAATCTATCTTCAAATAACACACACACACACACACACACCAAAACAGAAAAAAAGAGGAAATGAAGAGTACCAGAAGAAGTAAGTGTAGAGACGCTACCTCCCTCCATCCGGAGACGAAATCCTCACCTTTTGATTCCCCACCTCAACTGAACCACAATCGAACGGCCACGCTTTCCTTCATAACCCTAGCCCCAAGTACACTCCCAAATTCAACACCAGAAACCCTATCACCAAATTAACTTCCCTCGCCAAATTAATTCAAGCTGCAACAAAGCAATAAACAATACTCGTACATGTATATATGTATATATGTATGTATACAGGTAGAGAGAGAAACAGCGAGAGAGCTTATGTGTAGAGAGAGAAAAAGGTATTGCGTGAACTGTGTTTTTTAGGCGACTAGAACTGCTAAAATCTTTTCAATTTTAAAAACACTGAAAACAAAGAGTGGGGGGGAGGGTAATATGGGTATTCGGGAAATTTGTAAATGAGAATCTGACGTGTAAGGGAAGGGAATATTTCTACGTGTCATGTTTTGATTCGTTGAGGTGAATTAATAGCCAATGGATTTTGCCATTTTTTTCCTCTGTTTGAATTTTTTTGAAACTAAATGGGCTTTACCCGTCTGTGACATAGTGTAGATGACAGCAGTTCTATCGTGACATGATTATGGCTTAATCCCACTTTGCACCCTTAACATATAGTTTTTAGGTATTTTGCACCCCTAAAAAATATTTATAGCACTTTGCACCCCTCTAAACACAATGAATAATCAATCATGCATAATGCATCTTGAATTTTTTTTTAAGCTAATGAAGGTAATTTAATATTTTTAATGGTATTTTTAGGATGTCAAATGTCAATTCAATTTCTTTTATTCATCAATCCTATCGAAACTACAAAGTGCGAAAATAAAAATACATCTCAGCAATATATTAAATTAATTGTTTTCCAAAAAAATAATTTTACAAAAAACAAAAAAAAATTCTTTAACTATTCAGGTATCAAGTTATTTGAAATTTTATTTTCTTTCAAAGACTTTTACCAATTATTTTCACTAATTACAATAAAAAATCCTTCAATCGAATAATTTAGTGTGAATTTTGTATTTTAAGAAAATATAGTTTTTTCAGTAATTCATTTTAATTTTATTTTTTTCACACTTCGTACATTCGAAATTATGTTGGGGTGAAAAAAAATAATTTAATTTGTTATTTTGCACCCTCGAACAAAACACCCAATAAAAATTAAATTACCCTCATTAAGTTTTAAATATTCAATTCATGGTACATTGTGAATAATTTATTGTGTTTCGAGAGTGCAAAGTGCTATTAATTTTGTTTAAGAGTGCAAAGTGTTAAAATGCCATATTTCAAAGGTGCAAAGTGAAATTAAAACCAGGAATTATGAGAAAAGGGGTAAAATGGGTATTTTCGCTATTTATATTTGAAATGTGAAGTAATATTAAATTCTAGGTTACGGTGGGTGATATAGTGGAGATGACTGTTCAATCATGATGATACTATTGGAATTTGGAATATGAATTAATAGCGATTTTTTTTCCTTTTTTGTTAGTAATTGTATCGAGGGTACTTGTCTCAACAGTTGACCGAACTAAGTTGAATTATATGTTTTTTTTAATTTTGTTTTATGTTGTTGTTCATTATACAAATGTAATTCGGGTTTTCATAATTATGTGAGTTACCTGTCTCAATAGTTAGCTTGTCGTAACAGTTGACTGATAATTCTCTAATAAATTTAGCTATAACAGTTGGTTGCTTGTATGTCGTAAGATAATATAAAAGCTAATTAAAAGACACACAAAAATAACGTGATTTGAATAAATGTGTATCATACATCTACGAGGATCTGCAAAGACAAAATTCCACTAATTCAGTTTTATGTTTATAGTATAAGGACTTATTCATTAAACGAAAGGCTCCCTCTTTGTAGTGACGTTGTCCGTATGACCACTCAATTTTTGTGTCTTCGAATATATCAGTGCCTCTAATCCGCACAATTGATGCACAATTTAACTCTCTTCAACTTTGAACACCTTCAGACATTGGATCGACATTTTCACGAAATCTTTTAAGTTGTTCTCCCAAGTATCGATCTTCTTTTTGCATAAAAAAACAAACTTAAGCTAACTTGATGTTTCTTTATAAAGTCTCGACAATATAAACATTATGAGACCTTTTTATTAAAAAAATGGTGTGCTAGTATATAGATGAAAGGGAAACACTTACAATTTCTTTAAGGGTTAAATACAAAAATATTCATGTACTATGAACTTTGTATCATATATCCTCTGTACTATACATAAATATAAAAACTCTCCTATTGTTACATTTTTTTCCAAAATCTGACCAAAATACCCCTGCTAAAGCCTATAAATGTAAGGGTTTGTTTGAGCCATTTTCCAATAAATCTTTAACATTTTCGGTCAATTTTACTTGGGAAATTTTGGTATTTTTATTTTTTTTCTACAAAACATCTAATTGCTTCGATTTTTATTTTTTTTTTCTGAAAGAAACCTTTTATTTTTGTCATTTTGAATTTCTTTATTTTTTTCTTGAATGTATTTTGGTAGTTCAAATTCTCAACAGTCATAGGATTGTAAAGATATCTGTAATCTTAGGATGTTTGAACTATCGGAAGACATTTAAGAAAAAAAATTAAGAAACTAAAAATGACAAAAATAAAAGGTTTTATTCAAAAAATTAAATATATTTAAGCAATTAGATGTTTTGGAGAAAAAAATATAATTACCAAAAATTCCAAGTAAAATGGACTGAAAATGGTAAAAAAAAAATAGTGGAAAATGGCTCAAATAATATATATATATATATATATATATATATATATATATATATATATATATATATATATATATATGCTTTAACAGGGGTATTTTCGTCATATTTTGGAAAAAATGTAACAGCAAGGGGTTTTTATATTTATGTATAGTACATGAGATATATGATACAAGGTTCATAATACATGGATGTTTTTGTATTTAACCATTCTTTTTAACGATAGAGCGTGGACATCAAAATTGTATATTAGAAAACTGCTTTTAATAAGAATTAAATAAAAGGGGCATGCTAAATCCCACACATAAATTAAAAAAAAATCTCTCTCTACTCAAATCCTCTCTAAAATGAGTTTATGCAACTCACTCAAAATTCATTAATTTTTTACTTGAATAATCATAAAAATTGAGTTCCATTTTATTTAATATTTATTCAATTCCGATCCATTAAGCCTTTTTAAATATTCAAATTCATATCAATTCGAATATTTTCCTCAAATTCCAACTTTATTTTAGTTTGAACATGTGAAAATTTTTGTCAAATTCGAACTTGGAATGCTAGGGATGTTTTTAGTGTGTGATTTTGTGAAAAAAAAAATTAGGCAAAAAGAAGAAGAGTAGGAAAGGAGAAGAGAAAATTTTGAAGAGAAAAATATTTTTAGTTATGTGCATGATTTGATAAAAATAGTGTGGGATTTGGCATTTTAGTAAGGCGGCGGTTATATGCAAGCCCATTTTTTTATTAGTTCAAGACCTCCAACATAAAAATACTAATTTACCCTTAATGAAATTTAAAATCAAATAAAAAACACAAAACATTAAAAAATAAAAAAAATAAAAATTTCCTTTGTGCAAGACCAAATAAAATACATAAATCCAGAAACCCCTCTTCCTTATTTCACGACTTAAAACTCTCCTTCTTCTTCTCCTTCTTCTTCGGAAACCCACAAAGAAATCCTACACACCAAAATTATCAAATACATACCAAACATTCACGATGGAACCAGAAAACAATGATATGGTGATTTACGAGGGTGGAGAACACAATGAAAATATGTTTTAACCGTTTATTTTTGCTTTTGGGTCGTTTTTTTTTTGTTGGGAAAAAAATTCGACGATACCAAAAATCGGTCTGCAAATACCGATTTTTGTTACTAAAGTCGGTAACCACATTCCGATTATTTTAATAAAAATCGGTACTTAAAAACCGATTTTTGTAGTAAAAATCGGCATGACAACACCGATTTGTTTTTGTATTATCGGTATTGTCATGCCGACTTGTACTACAAAAATCGGTTTTTAAATACCGATTTTATTATCTGTGTTTTTTTAAAACCGTTTTCTCATACTTACGTGCATCAACCTAGGGGATTGATGAAGGATTATTCAAATGAATTATCTAACGAATAAATATTTGAGATACGGAAAGCTCTACTCGATTGGGTTAAAGCAGTGGTAGACGCCACCGAATGGTGATAAACATTTTCGTTTCAAATATTTAAAAAATATCAATTAACCAAATATATAATGTATTATTTAAAAAAAAATTCAAAAAATATCGGTATTCGAAAACCGATTTTGTACTCAATAATCGACATTAGAACGCCGATTTTGACTTGTAAAGTCGACGTTGTGTCGCCGATTTGGTTAACAAAAATCGGTATTATGACGCCGATTTTCGTGTACAAAATCGGTCTGGATAAACCGATTTCGGAAACCAACGAAAATAAATAAAAAAACAAATTTCAATCTCAATTTTTTTTCCAAAATCGGCCAAATCATTGCAATCCAACAAGAAATAAGCATAGATTAATGTTCATTCATACATATTTATCAAGAATCGATGTTCGATTAATGTTTTCGAATTTACAAATAAAAATTTAGTAAAAAGGACATCGATGCTCGATTAATGTTTTCGAATTTACAAACAAAAGTTTAGTAAAATGGATTTACTTGGTTGGTGGTGGTGCGGTGGTGGTAATGGTGCGGTGGGTGGGTCGCTGGTCATCGCTGGTGCAGTGAAAGTCTCGCTGGTTGGCAGTCGTGATATTTCTTTTTTTTTTTTGTTTTTTTTTTTTTTTTTTTGATTTTTGGTCTTGAACAAATAAAAAATAAGATTTATTTGTTTTTGAGTATTATTTGTGGATAAGGGTATATTTGTCATCTTTAGTCTTGATGTAATAAAATTAGATTAATTTACGGGTTTGAACTAATAAACTCATTTATGTGGTTTTGAACTAATAAAAAAATGGGCTTGCATATAACCGCCGCCTTTCAGTAAATAAAAATATGCAAATCTATTTTATCTTTTAGAAAAAGGAAACGAACCAAAATTGTTTTCCTTTGTGAGAGAGAGCAAGGGATATACTGACTAACATAGAAAATTAGAAAAATAAAATGGCCTAGTTCTGCTTTGCGCCGTTGAAATACAATTTTTTGGCTCTATAAACATTCGAAAAAAATTGATAACACTTTGCATCCTCGAAACACAATAAAATCATGTATAATGCCTTGAAACACAATAGAATCATGCATAATGCATTTGTAGTGATACACTACAAATTGATTTTTAACCAACGAAGGTAATTTAATATTTTTAAATAAGTTTTTACATACGACCACCTAGTATCAAGTTTCAGTTTGATGTGTAGTAAAATTGAGTTCGAACAAAGTTTAATTAAGCCAAACACAAATCTAACTTGAGTAATTTGATTTTTTCTATATATAATTTATTATTTTCATTCTTAACAAGCTCGGGCTCAAACCGATCTTCATATCGTATCTGATCGAATATATTTAATTAGTAATATTAACAAACCGAACTAAAACAAGTTTTTAACTATCAATCTGGAATCGAATAGTATGATTCGAATTTCGTCTCCATGTGTGCGTATAGTGAGCAAGAAGTTGAACACCATAGAAAAGAGAGTTTCCGAAAACAGCATTTCCGAAAACAAGAACATAGAATTAAAATTTAGCAAAGCAACTGCATTACAAAGGAAGATGAAAGCAAAGAGTTGTTACTCATCTACTTGTTACCAATAACAAAGTCTCGATATCACCATCAAGAATTCGCTTATTGCACAAACGAAACGTCGAAAAAAAAAACACCTAGATTAAAAGCATCGTACTCTTCTCTAGTTAGGCACCAAAAAAAAACTTTTCCCACTTCGATTTTCGCCATAATCATCAAAACAAGAAAGTCAAATCAATGACCACGAGCAACATACGCAAGAGAAATCGCAGCCAAGAGAGTCGTCGCCGAGGACAAAACCGTCCAAAAGCTCTTCTTCTTGTGCGCATCTTCCACCGAATTCTGGAGCAACTCCATTTGCCTCTTCATCGTCTCTACTTTAGTCATTTTACTCTTGAAAGCATTCTTTATCATCTCTAATTCCACCACACAACCCTTCGATTCCCCACCGTTTTTATTACCAATAACAACACCGTCCACCGCCGCCACGTCAGCCTCCCCTTTCGAGCAAAAAGCCACTGTGTCCTTCAACATACTCATCACCAGCTCAGAGTTTGCATCCGCGGATTCAAATTTGACCTTCATCGAATCGAATTCGTTCCGTGCCTCGATTATCGTATTTTCCAACGACGAAATCCCCTTCTTCAGCTTTTCGCACTTGCTCTCTAGCTCCACCTTTTCAGCAAATATCGAACCGTTCTTGGCCTTCAATTCCTCGTACGCCTTGAGGCTTTCCTCGACTTTATTCTCCAACTCGGTAATCTTTTCGTTCAATCTAACACCATTCTTCTTCTCTTCTTGAATAATTTTCTGCATTTCATCCCTCTTAATTTTAACCTCCTCAAGCTTCGACTTATATTCCCCAACTTCAGAATCTAAATTCTTGATCTTCTCCGCTTCGGCTCGATTATTTTCCTCCAATTTCGAAACAACAGCCTTCAGTTCAAGAACTTGGTTTTGCAACTCCCTAACTTCACTATCCAGTGTATCTTTAGCCTCCAGTACGACAATCTTCTCATTAACCATTTCCTCGATTTTGAGCTTCTGCTCCGCTAACTGCTCCAACGCCTCTTTCAAATCCTTCCCAATAGCCGTTTTTTCATCGGTCAATCCCTCAATTCTTTCCTCACTCGACTTCTTTTCTTCCACCAATTGAGTAATCTCCCTCACCATATCCTTGTGCCTCTCTTCACCTTCCACACACTTCTTCTCCAACTCGGCCACAAACTCGTTCAATTTCGTCTCCTCCTTTTGCAAATCGACCACCGTCTCGTTGAGTCCACTCACTGCATTCTCCAACTCTTGCCTTTTAATAATTTCCGCATTTTTCTCCTCTTCGATTCCTTCCTTTTCTCTTACAACTCCGGAAAGTTCTTCCTTCAAATTTTCTGCCAACTTATTGGATTCCACTAAACTCCTCTCGATCGAATCTTTCTCCCTCAGAATCGACTCAATCCTCATCTCCCTCTCTTCCTTTTCACCCAATACAGCATTGTACGTGCTTCTCAATTCTCCAATCGCTCGTTCCATAACCCTGTTCTTCTCTTCAAATTCAATCAAATTCGCCTTCAAACCCTTGCTCTCATCAATCTGTAAATCAAGTTTACCCTTGATTTCATCCCTCTCAACACAAACACCCTTCAAAACCGCCCTCTCGTTTCCCAATTCACCTTCGATCTCACTCAGCTTCTCAGTCAAACTCCCAATCTCACTCTCCTTTTCACCAATCACTCCTCTCAAACCCTTCAATTCACTCTCCAAACCCTTAACCTCACGCTCGAACACCTCCCCATTCTGCGCCACCTGCTCGGCAACAAAAACAGCCACCACGCTCCTCTCGAGTTCCAGCGCCGCCGCCGTCTCACCCAGCCGAGTCAACTCGGACATCAGCCCCTCCTTGTCCGAGTTCGACCGAGTTAACTCACTCTCCAGAGACGCCTTGGACTGAACAAGCGACTCCACCTGCTGGCGGCGCTCAAAGGACTCCTTCACCAGTATCTGATTCAGCGATTTCAGGCTCTCGAGCTTTTCTGAAGCCTCGGAATCCATGGGCGGCGACACCTCTTGATTCGCCGCTGCTTTCACGGAATCGTCTTGCTTCTGCAATGGCTTCTCCTGGTGTGACTGTGAAACTTTCTTCTTCGCCATTGATATTTTTTTTTATTTTCTTAAATGTAATAAACTTTTTCGGTATTTTTTGGTGGTGGGAAAATGGATTGGAGATGAAGGGATGAGGGTTTTTCAGAGATTTATTATTTGTAAAAAAGAAAAAAGAAAAAATCTATGGCTGAGGAAAATGTGAATCGTACGAGATGAAAAAAAGGAAGAAGATGAAGAAGATAAGGGGTCAGTTTTCACGGTTTAAGACTGCACATAGAGAGAGAAAGTGATGAGTGAGAGAGAGATTTGTAGGGTTTCTCGTTTCGAATTCAAATTTTTGGGATGGCTCGAATAACGAGGTTTTTTCGTTATTTTTATTAGGTGGATCTAAATTTTGGAATTTATTAGGTTTTGTTGGGCCACTCACCTTTTTATTAAACCCATTTAATAATTTGCTTACTTCCATTTAATAATTGGTAGGGCAGTTATTTTACATCATTATTTTACACATATTATTCCAGTTTATTAATGCTCATATACAAATTTATTTATTTAAATCTTATAAAATAAATTCATCTTCGTAACAATAATAATGTAAAAAAATGTCTAAATGTGGTCATCGATGTTAGTTTTCAGACCTTTAACCTTAATACCGTTTGGTCTAAGGTCTGAAAATTACAAAAAAATCACTTCTTACAGTTTAAGTAATTATAAAAAAATTAAAAATAAATTATGGTTGTCGTCGTGTACTGTGTATGCTTTCTCGTTGCCTTGATTTTATTTTTTAATAATTATTTAAACTAGGAGGGGTTGCGGTTTTGTAATTTCAGAGTTGACAACTAACAGATATGGCCATATTGAGACAATTTTCAAGTACATAGAGGCAAATCGATGCAATCGACAGTAAAGTAGGGTAAAGTGATATCGAACCAAAGTAAATGAAATTTACCCTTAAAATTATAATGAATAGATTTGAATTTGAGGAGGGGCATGGTCACGGGCATTGAGAGTCCACGCCTAGGACCGCATTTTTGGTAACGATATTTTGTTATAATGAAATGATTTTTACAGGTTATGAATACTATTCATTTTTTAAAAAAATCTCTAAAACTTCCAACCAAAGCCCTAGAAATACGCCACTATTTTGCACCCGTTTTGGATGTGGATAGAAAAAAGGGTTAATGAGGCATACCCCCCTGGTTTGAAAAAAAATTAGAACTAAACACCCCGTATTATTTTTAATAGTTGGAACCCCCTCACTTTTTCACAACCCGAAAATACCCTCATATTTTCTATTTGAAACAAAGCCCCCCATCAGTTTATTAAAAAAAACTCATAAATTTGCTCCAATTATTTCACGATTCATGCTCGACCTAAATCACCCAAGATATTCCTCAATTCTCACAAAAATACTTCCTATTTTCGCCTCCAAGGTTGCTACTACACATCAGCCCCCTGCAAACAAACCCTACTCTATTTTATTTCTCGCAAAATCACATCAAAACGAAACGCAAAATGATTGAAGCAATAAAGCCATTCAAAAATGATGAAGAAGACAACACAAACCACATAACAAATTGTTCCAATCTGCTATATTGTTTGAAGAAAAACGACTTTGAAGCAACAACACAGTAAGACGCATAAATTTTCAATTCCAAAATGAAATATTTTGGTAGTCAACTATAATGTTCCCAGAGTCAACAATAAAAATTGGGTAGTCAACTATAATTTTTCCGAAGTCAACTATAATTTTTCCGAAGTCAACTACAATTTTTCCGAAGTCAACTACAATTTTTCCGAAGTCAACTACAAAAATCCAAAATCAACTATAATTTCTCACTAGTTAACTATTCCGATGTCAACTATAAATATTCGAACCTCTCACTGCCAGCTTCACGGCTTGACTGCATTACCTTCGTCACCTTCCCTTTGTCTTCATGTATTTCTGTGATAGCTTGTGCTTCTTGAAAGACGCGTAACGGTTTGAAGTTCGAGCCCCACCCTAGCATTCGGTAGTCAACTATAATTTCTTCATCAGTTAACTATATTAATATCCAATTTAAGATCGATATCTTGATATTCTGGAACCTCGACGACAAAAATCTTAACTCCGACGATAAAATAATAACATATGATTCATATAAAAGAAAGTAGACTTTCTGGATAAATAAAAATTGAGATGGGGAAGAATGAGAGAAAGAAATGACAAAAAGAGAGAAAAAAAATGAAAAAAAAAATTGAAGGAGATGATTACAGAGAAAGAGGAAGAAGAGATAGGGAAGAGAGAGAAAGAGAAAGATTAAAGATACGTGGTGATGTCTGATGAGAAAAGAGATAGTGAATAGAAAGTGGAGAGAGAAAAGGAAAATAAAGAGAAAGAAAAACTCACGAAAATAATGGAAAGAGAGAGAAAGATGGAGAAAATAAGGAGAAAAATATGGAAATAAAAGGGCAGAAGGGAATAACAATAAGGCCAGGGGGGTCTAACAATTAATAATATCAATTTAGGATTTCTTTAAAAAGGTCCAATTGTAAAATGGATCTGTGCTCTATAATTTTGTGTATTGAGGGGGTTATCCCTCATTTTCCCTAGAAAAAAACACAGACTTTTCAAAAAAAAAAAAATTAAATGCTCAAATAACGGTAAATTTTTATCTGATCTGACTTTTCAAGCTCTAGAAAGATTTTGAAAATTAAAACGGTATTCGGAAAAATAGAACCGTATTTATCAAGTAGTTGAACTGTTGAATGTTATATGAGAGCAATTCCTGTTTTTTTTTTGGTTGTACTATTGAATGTTATATATAATTATTTTATATAAATTTATTTAGTATAAAAGAAAACAAAGACTTCATTTTTTTTTGTTAGCTTTTGAGACTTTCAAATCCTGAGATCAAGGGAAAAATCAATTCAAGTGGGCAACAGAATGAGGAAATCAAGATTCAGCCAAGAATATTTACAGATTTTTATAATAATATAACGGGCAAATTATGGCAACCCCTGAGTTATGGTCAAATTACGAAAATCCCCCTCATGTTTGGGTAATTACAGTCACCCCTCAAGTATGTATTACCTTACGAAAATACCCCTACAGACGTAAATTTAAAGATAATAAATCGGTAAAATCAAACTGAAATTTTAGTACGCCAACATTTCATACCGTTTATAGAACTGAATACGATTTGGTTCGGTATATAACCGAATTACATAAATTTTATGTAAAAATATTTAAAAAGAGGGAGTGGCTGTAATTACCCAAACAACCAAACAAGAGATTTTATTTTTCGTTATTTGGTACCTCAGGGTGGCTTAATTTGCCCTAATATATATTGTCATATTAAGTTTTCTGCAGTTGATGATGATACAATTTTGTCTCAGGTGGGCCAAACTGACAACTTAAAACTAAGACACCAAATTATATATACTTTAACCTTGAACAAAAATGCAAGAAGATGATTCACTTGAATCAATATGTTTTGCTACAATAATTAATCTTTCTAAATTAATGTAAGAAGAATCCGACGAAACTAGTTCACAAGATGCTCCAACGATTCGAGCCACCGTCATTATAAGTTATGGTAAACTAATGAAAACGATACAGAGCAAAACGATCACGACATTACACAAACCATATTTGTCACAATTTCTACTTTCTAGCTATTTAATCATTTTAGAGCCAGAGAAAATAAATTGCGTTCTCGTCAAACCCCGAGCTTATTAGCTGCTACCACTTATTTGCGGAGGAAAATTCTATTTACAACGTCAACTGGCAATGCATAAGCTGGATCGATAGGTTTCAGTCCTCGATATTCCAAAAGCGAAAGACCTGAATTCACCAAAACACAAAAAAATAAAAATAAATAAATAAATAAATAATAAATAATAATAATAATAAGCCTTGTAAAAAAATAAACAACATATTCGGAAGGGCAATTCGGTAAAGTCTTACCAGCAATACCAAAATAAGTGTGGAAAACATCAACAGCATCGTTTGGCCTATCCGAAATTCCTCCATTCTCTTTATCCTACATCATTTTAAAGTAAGTGGCACCACAAACTCCAAATTTATACAATTTAATAAATATATAAAATTTAAATAGAATTTCGTTTTTCCAATCGCAGTTGTTTGTATACCTGACAATCCAAGATAAAATTGACAAGCTTGCCCTTGTCAATCCAGTGAACTCTATCAATCATGATTAAGCTAGATAGAACCCACCATGAGTAACAGACCTGCCGTCGAGAACTATATCAGAACGAACCATGTTTTCTAATATTATTTTTTTCCTCAAAAAGAAATATATATATATATATATATAAAGGGAATATTCTCCCACATCAGGAAGCTTCTCAGGTCGCCCGTTTAAACCTCCGGATTTTACTTGACGTTCACAAAGCCACCATCCAAGGAGGTCTTTGTCGATATGATGTAGTGAACCAGTTATCGCAAGTGCTCCCACACAACAGAAAACTGCAAATAAAAAAGGGAATCAAATCTCTATCTTCAATTTCATTATAGTGGTTTGTACGAGATTAAAATATATAAACTTATTTTGGAATCTTTTTAAGGGGAAACGGATAAGCTCTCCAAATAAGATGTTGCGGCTTTATAAGTTCCTTCGTAAAAAAGTAAGAAGCTTCTAACTTATTTTGAAGGTTTTCGGATCTTAACAAACTGCTCTCATTTGATCGTTGAAAATAGAATATTGACATTATTAATAAATTAAAATCTTTCATCATTTTATATTATCCAAACACTTCAAGAACTTACGCTTATTTACCGACATATAAGTTCTAAAACCCAACTCTAAGTTAATATTGGATAACGGGATTGGATCTTCTGTTGTCGTAATTCATGTACCAACGAGCTTTTTTTTCTTCTTTTTTTTTTTGTGTGCAGAAAATCAAGAACGAATCAACGTTTAGTTGTGGAGGATTCTTCTACATATGAACCTAGTTCTAATACTTCGGAATCCAGTTCAGTTATATTAACTGGCATCAATTAGAGGGGGCATCAACTTAAAAATTACGACAACCGATGCTAACCTACAAATATCTTGTATCCAGTGAGTAAGCTATAACATGTTATATATTTTGTATCTACGTACGGCACATGACTAATGATTTAGAAAGAATCTATAAGTACATGAAACATACTTTGGCCTGCATGAGATTCCCCTCCCGGTGTGCATCCAAATCCACCATCTAAGTTCTTGCAGCTAACAATGTACTCTACGGCTTTTTCCACGTTTATTTTATCCAAGCGATGTAATAATGCGAGAGAGCATATTGCAATATAAGAAAACCTGAAAAAAAAAATAGTTCGCGTTGCTTATTATGTTTCCATTAAAAAAAATTCTAAGAAAGAGTAAGATAACATAACAATTTCACATGTAAGAAGAAACGTAACATACGAAATCAAAAAACGACATGGAGATGAAGAATAAGAAAGATACCTCGTATCTATTTCACCCCAAATGTCACCAGAAAAGGATCCGTCTTCATTTTGTAGGCTTGAAATATCTAGCTAGTAAGTTAAGTTTGATATAATAAAATAATTCTTTGTACTTAATTTTAAGAACTACCCGTAAACAATAAAAAATAATATTTGTCGATGTTTACCCACCCCATTTGGGTCAACTTACGGAACTACCCCTAAACAATAAAATAATAATAAATATAGAAAGATACAATCTGCAACCTTGTCGATATCAAGAACATCTATTTTGTCAAATAGTGCTAAAACCTGAATAGCACTGAGCGTGTACAACACGTGGGGATCGTGCCCTATATTACCCCCAAAACCACCTTCACGAACAATTGCATTGCAAAGGATAAACAAATTAGAAGAAACTCGACTGACAACTGATACGTACAAAACTATTTAAGGAATAACACAAACCAGATTCATGCTGGCACTCCATGATCCATGAAACCACCTCATTTACATCGACCGTATCAAGTTTTTGTAAGATATCGAGAGTTGTTAATCCCCAATACGCGCCGTTTAGCCTTAGGTGCTCCATCACCACAGATTCGAAATCATCCTTTTTCTGATACAGAATGCCGCTGATCATTATTTAAAATAAAAAAAAAAATAGAGAGGGAAAGACATGAACTTCCGATTAAATTAAAAAGTTCGTTTTTTTTTCTCAAGGTACTGATAATCTCTAAACATACTACTGGACGGTATATAAAAATCCAAATTCACAAATCAAACTACAATAAGAGCAATGAATCTCAAATTAAGAAGACAATCCTCATTTTTCATGTTAATTGACTATCAGAAAATTTTAACGTTAAAGAACAATTAAGTAATAGTTAAATCAAATAATTAGCTCAGTACTGCCAGGCATTGAAAACGCTCAACAGGAAAATTAAGGACTAGATTGAAACACAAACACTCAAAAGGTTTATCATTGCCTTCAATAGTTTTAAGCGCTGTACAAAAACATAAATCACATTTCGCTAATGAAATAACAACCAAAGCTCCGATTTTGTCATTTTTCATGTCTCTCAAATATGTTCTATTGCTAAAAGAACTTCATATGTGATACTATTCAAGTCCCAAGAACAGGTTGGTTTCATATTTGGTTATTCAGTCTATAAAAAAAATCTTATTTACTAATTACGGGTAAGCAGATTTTACTAATTTTGAGATCCAATTGCCAAGTCTGGTTCAGTTAAAGAACAAATTGAAAACACGATGTATTAAATGAAAATCGAATGTGCAGTTTCATGCGCATTTGTGTGGATTAGCAGTATATACATTGACTTTCTCTAAATTCAAAATACTTTTCTTACATTTGCACTATTTCGCAACTAAAAATAAATGATAGCTCCACAATCAATACCTTGAGATTGATGAATAAAATAAGATTTTTTTGCGAGAGAAAAGTTGACGAAGACATGATAAATCATCACCATATTAATTTTAAATATGCCACATAACGAATTGTTAATTACTAAACTAGATTTGATTCTTTATGTTAAAAAATTTAGATGTGCATATATAGACAGTGTGGTACGGATTATTCAGACTCCAAGCTTCCATGAACTCCTATTGGCGGTGCTAACTGTGTTTTACCGATCAATTTGACACACAAAAAAAAAAAAAAAAAAAAACGGATAGTGAGGTGTGGTGCAGGAGGTTACAAGGGTTCTTTTATTAATCATAGAATGCTTAATCTTTGTTAAACGCACGGGAAAATAAAATTAGAAACAAAGTATAACAAGTATCATGGGCGTACCTTTTCAACCGTTAGTATGTATTTAACATGCTTCACAATCTCAAGCTCCCCCATTTCTGTCATTAATAAACAAACCAAATTTCAAGAAAAAACTAAAAAAGCCATTAAATTCGTCAAATAAACATTCTATCATCCAAATTCTCGTTATCTGTAGTTACGACAAAGTCAATTAAGAAAGTGTGTCAACAGATACACGTACTGTAAAAGATTTAAATATCCCAAAATACAAGCATTTTGTATGTTCAAATATACACCCTTTTCCAATTCGTATTTTTCCCACGTCTGTTCTTCGTGAAAAGCGAAGTTTTAATTCCAAATACAAGGAATAAGAACCACAACTAACACGAACGCATATTTGTATCAGAGTTTGGACGTAGCATATAAACTCTTTTACATGAACTTATAATACGAACTAATTGCAAAAAATTAAAATGATATAAATGCCGGCATACTATATGCAATTAAACCGCATCCCGGGAAATCATATATATACTTGTTGCTCCAAAAACCAAATCCAAATAATTTTTAATACAGTAAATAATCGATCTTACATTTTTTTCTCTCGGAGAATCGACCTTACACTATCAGCAATTTTAGAATACGCGCAATGCTAAATCACCCACTAGAATCAAGATGAACTCGAATACTGAATCATAGTATGTAGCGGTGGGGCAATGGGTCGGGTTCCATAAAATGATACCCGACGGTTTGACCCAAAAATGTCGGATCAAGAACGGGGTTTTCGGGTTTTGTGTAATTGAAATTCCCAATATTGTTTCACAGTGCACAATTCCATTTAATCCCCAATTTCAATTAAACAGAAAATGGTAAAACTATGTTGATTATTTGCTACTGAGAATTTCGAATAGTTGCAGAGTAAAATTTTACAGAGTACATACAGTTGATATCAAGCAGACTGGTAAATATCGAATTAAAAAAAAAATCTACATGAGGCAACGAGGTATGTTTCTTACAAAATCGGATGTGTAGGCTTCACTTCTTTCTTTTACCGGCGGTGGCGGTGGCGGTGGCGGGGCGGTGGGAGGATCCGGCGAGATTTGCTGAAAGTGAAGACCACGTAATTTTCTTCGCGAGGCTGTATAGCACGATTTATAAGAAATCGGAGCAACTTAAAGAAGCGTAAGGTTAAATAAGGGAATTGGACCATTGTAAAAAGAGAGGAAGGATTTATTCTTTTATTTTTACTAGTACTTCACCCGTGCGTTGCACGGATGTCAGTTTCAAAATGAGAAAAATAAAAATATTTAAACGATTAGCTCTTTATAACAACACCAATTCAAGTAAAATAAAATTGAAGTAAATAAAAAAAATTATCTCTTAATTCAGAGTTGTAACATATGAAATTTAGGCACATTAGCCCTCAACAATAGGAGAAATGGTCAAACTGTGAGATCTTTAGACTCCCCGGGAACACGAAGATTATACATCAACCCCTTACTATAACCAGTCTCATCTCTCTGCTCTAGGAGCGGATTATTTACCCGTAACAAGAGATAGAGATAGAAGCAGCTAAGTCTCTTACACACCGGAGTTTGAAGCTCCTGACGGAATGGATTTTCCGGGATGGGGAAGGTAACATTGACCTCTTTGACGGATTCATTTATATATTACAAAGAATAATATGTGAAGCGCGCAAAACACGATATGAAGATTATGTGAAATCATTTAAAACATATGGTATAATTCTATTTCATGGAATACAATTACTACACCATGTGAATCTTATGCAAAATAACTAATTTAACAACAAACATAGTAACACAATAGATATTCAAATAACCTGCAAGTTTATCACTGACAATATTCAATTTAGCGGTGAGCAAAGAAACCGAAAAACCGAACCGAAAAACCGAAAAACCGAGCCGTTTTAAACCGTACCGAATAGCAAACCGCATGTACGGTTTTTTATTTTTGAAATACCGAATTATTCGGTTCGGTATGGTGGGAAGGTAAATAACCGAACCGAAAAACCGAACCGAACCGAAACAATAAAATGACTTCATTTTATATAATATATTTATTATTTTACCCTAATATTTATTTTCTATCTTTCAAGTACTTGTCTCATTCTAAGCATTTGTCATAAATTGAGACATTGTATTTAATTTATTTAGTAAGTAAAAATTTACTTGAGTTCATGGTTTTAATAATGTGGTAGATGAAAGTAGGAAAAAAAAATGAAGTATAATACATCATCTAAATTATGTTAAGTCCTATGAAATTAAAGATTTTATATTTTCATTGCATTAGTAAGTTGTGAAAGTAATTGTAATTGTATTCTTTTGTTTGTACAACTTGAATATACAGTGACACTAGAACCGAAAAATAACCGAAACCGAACCGAAAAACGAAAGAAACCGAACCGATAAAAAACCGACATACACGGTTTTTAATTTTACAAAAACCGATATATTCGGTTCGGTTCGGTTTTTGGCTAAAACCGAACCGAACCGACCCGTGCACACCCTTAATTCAATTAGTGATGCACATTACTCAAACAACAACACGACTTATAAATGTTGCAAAAGAGATACAATGTATACGCCACAACCAATACTGATATCAACACTGATACTAATATTGATACTCTAATACTAATACTGATACTAATACTAATATTAATACTAATACTAATACTAATACTAATATTAATATCAATACCAATACCAATACCAATACCAATACCAATACCAATACCAATACCAATACCAATATCAATACTAATATTAATACTAATATTAATACTAATACTAATACTAATACTAATACTAATACTAATACTAATACTAATATTAATACTAATACTAATACTAATACTAATACTAATACTGATACTTACTAATACTGATATTGATACAGATATTGATACTGATACTGATACTAATACTGATACTAATACTGATACTGACACTGATATTGATACTGATACTGATGTTTATTGATACCCATAGTAATATTAATATAAATACTAATACTAATATTCATACTTATACTAATACTGATACTCACAATCATGTTGATACTCATATTGATACTGATACTAATATTGATATTGATACTGATATTGATGTTGACACTAATACTAATACTAATAATACTGATACTAATATTAATACTGATATTGATACTAATACTGATACTTAGCTTATACTAAAATTGATACTGAAATTGATACTTATACTAATACTGATACTCAAACTGATACCAACATTGATACTTAAATTGATACTGGTACTGATACCGATATTTATACTGATACGGATACTTATATTGATATTAATACTAATATTAATACTAATACTAATATTATTACTAATAGTAATATTAATACTAATAACAATACTAATACTATTAATAATACTAATATTAATGCTAAAACTAATTTTAATGCTAATGTACTAATGCTAATGATACATATACTGATATTGATATTGATATTGATACCGATACTAATACTGATACTGATATTGATACTGGTATTGATACTGATATTGGTACTGATACTCATACCGATACTAATGTTGATATGGATACTTATACTGATATTAATACTAATATTTGTATTAATACTAATACTATTACTAAATGTAATACTAATACTAATATTAATATTAATACTAACACTAACACTAATACTAATACTAATACTAATATCTAATACTAATACTAATACTAATACTAATACTAATACTAATACTAATACTAATACTAATACTAATACTAATACTAATACTAATACTAATACTAATACTAATACTAATACTAATATTAATACTAATACTATTATTAATACTAATACTGATACTAATATGTTAATGTTAATACTAAGTTTAATGCTAATTCTAACCTGGATATGCTAATTATTATGCTAATGCTAATTATAACTGTAATTCTAATATTATTCAAATCCTTATCCTATTCTTAATACTATTCATAACACTAATCATAATTCTAATCCCAATCATAATCATAATCCTATTCCCAACACTAATCATAAGCCTAATAATTTTAATACTAATAATGCAAATGCAAATGCTAATGCTAATGTTAATTCTGATTCTAATTTTAATTATAATTCTAATCACAATCCTAATGTTAACCATAATCCTAATACTAATATATGTCACTAATTATCGCACTATGCATAATCATAATCTTATTATAATTCTAATACTAATATTAGTCATAATCCAATATTAATTATAATATTATGTTAATCCTAATTACAATCCGAATCCTATTTCTAGTATTAATACTAATACTAATTCAAAAAATATTAATTCTAATTCTAATTCTAATGCTAATATTAATTACAAATTTTGATTTTGCATCAATATTTTTTTTGCAATGATCTATTATTCTTTATAGAAGAAAAAAATTATATTCAATCTCGAACCTTTATATCAAATTTCTTATGTGCTGAAGCATCAAAAAATGCATATTAAATATATTTGAAATTAATATTTAATTATATTATCAAACTGACATTAAATTATTTAAAATATTATAAGGGTATAAGCAAACGTTAAGACGTAAAAGAACAATAATCGTTGTTAAAAAGATAAATTATGAAAATTCTCCTGAACTTAGGCTAAATTACAGAAAACACCCCAAGTTATTGGTGATTACCAAAATCTACTTGATGTTTGTTTCTGTCTTACACGACCCCCTTATGGTGTAATATTATACGGAATATTTTTTATTCCATGTAATATCCCAAAAAATATGGGTTCTACCCTTGCAAACGTGTCATTTCTTTTGTCGTACTTTTTAAATACAAAAAAAATCCTTAGGGGAGGTAAAGGTAATATTAAAAAGTTGTGAAGGTGTTACTTAATAAGAATAAATTAAGATTTCGTGTAAAGTCCCCCTGAGGGTAATTTTTGTCTTTAAAAAGTACCATAACGAAATGTCGCGTGTGTAGGGTAGAATCAGCATTTTTTAGGGAATATTCCAAGTAATAAAAAAAATCCGTGAAAGTCATACTGTAAGGAGGCCGTTGTAAGACTGATAAGTGTTCATTTTGCATGATTTTCACTTATCAATTCTTCGAGTTTTGGTCTTCGTTCGTCCGAGTTTTCGGCTGTATTTGTATATATTATGTTGTTTTTGTTTTATTTCTATTTTAGGTAAAGAGAAGCTATTTTTGCCGATTCGAGACGATTTTGGAAGCGAAACCGAGAATCAAACCAAACACATGCAAAAGTGCATTTTCGCGGATTATGGCAGTGTTTGGTATTTGAAGTATAACTCTCGCATACAACCTATGATTGAGCTGATTCAAGTGGATTTAGAAAGCCAACTTTAAGGGCTACAACTTTCGTGAAATGCATAATTGTCAAATTCGGGCTGAAAAGGGGTGAAAAAAGTGTTTGAAGTTGATGCAGAGGCCAGATCGCGATCGAGAATCACCGGATCGCGATCTGGTGGCAAATCCCAGTAATTGGGGCAGATCGCAATCTCGGAAGGCGGTGCACAGTTTTCCAGGCTGCCAGATCGCGATCCAAGAAGCCTAGATCGCGATATGGGCACATAAATCGAGACTAGATATTTTTCTTTGATTTCTCACTATAAATAGAAGGTTTCTTTTTCATTTTTCAACCTCTCGACCATCTCTCAACTTTTTCTTCGGTTTTCTCTTCGGTTCTCGCCAGTTCTTCGCGGGAAGCTTCGACGAGGGTTTCGACTCGGGTTTTTCATTAGTTTTTCTTTACGTTTAGTTTATGATTTCTCGTGTTCTTCATTTTGATGCTATGTTTGTAATGAATTGAGTATTTTCTTTTAGGGGAAATGAAACCTTGTATATATTGATTTTGATTTCCAGATTTGTGATCTATTTGTCGTTCTTTGATTATGTTTATGTTTTCCTGTATTAAATGCTTTCGATTGTTTGGCCAACAATTGAATTGATTGTAAATGGGAATGAACTCGAGAGAGGATTTCTCGTTTGATTTTAGGAAAACATAGCTCGGGTTGTGGAAACGGAGACGTGATGCACCTCGGGTAGTCCTTAAGGACTTGACCTAAATGCTCTCTTAATATCAGGTTCTGAACGGAGACGTCGGACATGTGGGTAGACTCTAACTA